TGCAAATAGATAGCGGACCAACCACGATAGTTGGCAGGGTACCTGTGACAGATGGCGGGACAGCCGCGATAGTTGACAGGGTACCTGCAAATAGACAGCGGGCCAACCACAATAGTTGACAGGGTACCTGTGACAGATGGCGGGACAACCGTGATAGTTGACATGATACCTGCGAATAGATGGCGGGCCAACCGCGATAGTTAGCATGATATCTATAATAAATGGCGGGTCAACCGCGATGATTGACAAATTTATCTGCAATAGATGGCAGGATAGTTATAATAGTTTTAACAGTTGATATCTGAATTTAATTTATTATTAAAGTTTTATGAATGTGCAAAATGTTATAGGAGATAATTCACTCATTAGACTTTTAGTTCTAACCTTCAATTGTTGTAAAATTTATTTTTGCAGGTCAGCTCATGACAGAAAATAAAGACAAGGGGAAAATGTGATAGGCAGTTGACTTATTTTTATTTCGTTAAATCAAATTTTGTATGAGATCAAACTCATTGTTTATATGTATAATTTTGACTTATCTATTATATGTATTGAAATTTGTATTATGTTATATACATGTTGGTCATGTTTTAAGCTTTGGGTTGGAATGGTGTTTTATTTGAGGATTTGTAAGGAGCCGTTTACCAAACGATTATCCGGGTAATCGCTTATTAAGTAACATTATCTCACCGGATGAATATTGTATGGACCAAAAATCTTACCCAGTAAGAGCGAGATAAAGACCAAGAGTCTTACCCAGTAAGTGAGGGCGACGATCCTTACCATGGTAAACGCTTACCGGATAAATTGTTGCATATGATATCGTTTTGATGGAGTAAAATCTTACCCATCAAATAAATAATAGTTTAAATTTTAATGGTAAACACTTGAAATATTTTGGTAGTTTACTTTTTAACTATTAAATTATTGAAGAAAAACTGTCGACTTGAATACACACTCTAGAGTTCATGCATATAAGTTTGACAAACATACCCCTGGAGACTGAAATATTTTGTTCTTTGACCATTATTACCAGGGGCATTTTGAGTAATTTTGTTCCTCTTTTGCCACTATTTAGTTCTCTGGAATTCTTCTCCGTCAACACAGACCTGGCGACTTCCACCTCTTCCTCCAGTCGTCTCTCTCCATATTTAGCTTCGAAACTGGGAACTCTTCTTCAATTGGTAAGTTTATGTATTTGTTTTATGATGTGTGTTTGTGGGTAGGCATGAAATTCGATTAGTTCAACTTTCAATTGTGAACATTTTCTATTTGAAGGAATTCAGATGAGTAATTTGAGTTGTCTGAATGCTAATGAGATCCGGTGGAATTTTCCCCGAAAGTGACTGAAATATCTTTTCAATCAACTTTATTTGACTTTGCAATTGAACAATTTGTATAATCATTGAGCTTTTTCATATGGGTTTGGAAGAAATCGAAATGGGTTAGTTGACTTTTTTCCGTTTCGATTGTATTTGATGACCATCCATTGCAGTTCTTGAAGTTTTTAACATGTTAATCAAATTGATTCCACTCGAACAAATCGACATGGGTCGGTTTGTTTTTAGTATATTCTAAAAGTTCCCATTGATGATTATTGTTTGATTGCGTGGTGTAAAAGTTAAGGGTCTTTTTTCATTAAGTTCATTGAATAATCATTTAGACTTTTTTGGTTTTATTCCTCATTAAACACTGATTATTGCTTAATTAAATCTATTTGTTGTTTTGCCTTATTGTTTCAAATGTACGAGCTTCAGCTAATTCATGTGATTCAATCAGATTTAACAAGTTTAAAATCTGGATTATGGCTGGATTCTCTTGTAGAGCTGCCCACATCTAGAACGGATGTTTGCCCGTTGACCAATTTTTGGTCAAGATGAAGTTGATCTTTCGTGTGTAATTGTCTTGGGTTTGCGTCATGAGTCAAAATGTGATGAATCAGTATATAGAATTGAAGGGAAATGGTCTTTTGGGGGAAATTCTTAGAGTTGACTTTGATCTCTGATTTGAACCCAATTAAAACCCTACAAAAAATATGCATCTTTGTCTTTCTGATCTGGTGAATATTTCAATCAAAAACAAGTTCTTGACATTGACTTGTTCAAATTTCTTGATTGATAGGTTGGGGATCTTGATTGTTTTACTATTTCTCGAAAAAGTCAACTAAACAAATCGGTTCATGCAAATTGAGGATCTAGTTTCCGGAGGTGTTCAAGGAGGAGGGTTTTAGGATCATGTTCTCCGTTCGAAAATTGAATTGCTCGTGGTCACTGGTGACAGCCGTTGCTTCAATCATAGCATTGGTTTCAGTACTTCATTTGTCCTTATTTCCTGCTGTGCCTTCTTTTGATTACTTTAGATATAGGCAAGTCAAAGATTCTTGTTTCCCAATTAATCGAACAATTGATGGGAAAAAGAACAACTTGTTGCAAGATCAGCAGCTGCCTTTAAATGCTCGGTTTCCTGCCGACGGGCATAAGGCAGTTGTTTATCGTGGTGCACCATGGAAAGCTGAGATTGGTCAATGGTTATCTGGTTGTAGTTCAGTTGCTGCTCCAATAAAAGTTCTTGAGGTACTAGAATTGTGATTGTTAAAATCTATTCCGTTCTCCCGAATTTAAATTGCATTTTAGATTATGTTGGCTTGTGGAATTTAAAATCGTGTTGTTTGTGTTTCTATTGATAGGAAATCAGTGGGAAGAAATGTAAAGACAGTTGTAGCGGTCAAGGAATTTGTAATCATGAATTCGGTCAATGCCGATGCTTTCATGGATTTAGTGGTTAGTACTGCTTCAACTTTTAAGCTATGTTAGCTAGTTGTTAGCTCATAAACTAGTTTTACTTGGTAAAAAATAACTAATAAGCTAGATGACAATGTAAAATTACCTAAAAGGACATGTTGAAAATTAATTAGAAAAATATGAGGGTCATAATTGGAAAAAAGCCCCCGGAGCTTATTGAAATGTTACTTAAGTAGCTTACATTTCAATAAGCTAGCTTATATAACCAAACAGGGCTTTTCAATAAACTCAAAAAAAGCAAGCTAGCTTATAACATGGTCTTAATCCCATCATTGTATAGCTGTACGGGTTTTATATTCGAAATTGTAAAACTATATGGTGCCATTGACACTGATCATGATGTCCATCTAAGACTTGAAGCAAAATATTGACGTGAGACACTTTACTGTTGTTGTTGAAGGTCGAAATTTGTTTAATCAACTTGAAAATTTGAATGTTGTATTGATGGTTGATCGGGTGGTGAAACAGGAGATGGATGCTCTGAAAAACTTGAACTAAGTTGCAATTATCCCGCAACAGAGGAGCTACCATATGGTCGATGGGTTGTCTCAATCTGCTCTGCACATTGTGACACAACACGAGCAATGTGCTTCTGTGGTGAAGGAACAAAATACCCAAATCGCCCTGTTGCCGAGACTTGTGGGTTTCAGATAATGTAAGTATACGAGTTGTAGATTTCTTGTGTCCACCAAGATAATTTTACCACAGGGTCATTAGCCCAACGTTATCTGTTATCCAGTTTACTGGTAAATCCTACCCTCATCGGAGGTCAGAGGTTCAAACCTCAACAAAATTAGGAACGTGCGTGCGTATACAATTTCTTTCTGATGTACAATTCAACCGTTGAAACCAGATTTCCTTCTGAACCCGGTGCTCCAAAAGATGTTGATTGGTCAAAAGCTGATCATGATAATATTTTCACAACAAATGGTAGTATGCCCGGATGGTGTAATGTGGATCCTGTTGACGCTTATGCTTCGAAGGTGAAATTTAAAGAGGATTGTGATTGCAAGTATGATGGTCTTCTTGGACGGTTTTGTGAGATACCCGTGTCATCTACTTGTATTAACCAATGCTCTGGTCAAGGGCACTGTCGTGGTGGGTTCTGCCAGGTATATTTGATTTTAAAATGGTTGGCGAGTACCTTTTTGCTATCAAATTTATACTTCTTTAAACGTTAACAAAAACCTAAATGAAAACATTGGCAAATGATATCTAGGCCCATGTTTGGCAACCATAAACTAGCTTATTTTTTGAGCTAATTGAACTAGCCCCGCTTCCTTAACAATAAACTAGCTTTTGGGAAAACTACTTCAAGCGGCTTTTCAATAAGCTCTAGGAGATTTTCCCAATTATGCCCTTATATTTTTCCAATTAATTTTTCAACATGTCCTTTTTGGTAATTTTACATTATCATCTACCTTATCAACGAGTTTTCTTTTTTGGATGTATGCAGTGTTATGATGGCTGGTATGGAGTAGACTGTAGCATTCCATCTGTTCATTCTTCCATTAGAGATTGGCCGCAGTGGCTTCGTCCGGCTCAGGTTAGTGTTCCCGACAATGGACCAATCACAGGGAATATTATCGATTTAAAAGCAGTGGTGGAGAAGAAAAGGCCCCTTATATATGTCTATGATTTGCCCCCAGACTTTAACAGTCTGCTACTTGAGGTTAGAATGCTTATCCCAAAGTTGTAAACAAGATTTTCGGTCTTTTTTCTTTTTTTCAGTTTGCAACTCTTTGGATTGCAGGGTCGTCATTTTAAGCTCGAGTGTGTGAATAGGATCTATGACCAGGATAATGCTACTGTGTGGACGGAGCAGCTTTATGGTTCTCAGGTATCCCAGAATATAATGATAATGATCTTTGTAAACCGCTTTGTTAAACCGAAAAGAAGCATCTACCAGTGAGTGTAAAATGTTTAAGATGAATTCTGGGAACCATTTTTTATACTTGCATTTAGATAAACCAAACCAAACCAAACGAACCCAGTTTTATCGTACATGGAGGTAGGGCTTTTATGCACAAAAAAGCCCGAGCCTGGCCTGGCCTTAAAGCCTGACCAGACAAAATTTTTAAGGCCTGGTTGAAGCCCGACCCCAAAAAACCTGGTCAAGCCTTGGAAAAGCCCGACCAAGTCCCTCTTTCAACCCAAAGCCCGGCCCGAGCCCAAAAAGCCCTGGGCTTTTTTTTTTTTTACTGAAAACGGGCTGGAAGGCCTGGGCCCAGGCTCAAAAAAGCCCGGGCCTTGTGCATCTCTAGATATGCAGACTTTACCTCTCCTCCAAGGGATAGAGTATTTTTTTCATGAATGCGTTCGGGTTACGGTCGTACAGCCCCTCCGAAGACGTCCCCGGGGCTTTCAAAACAAAAAAGAATCAGGAAACAAGTGTTGTAGGTAGCGGAGAAGTATGTGCAAACAAGAAACCGATTCAATGCGTTGAAACGAACTACATCTAGCGTAGACAGTAAAAGCAAGTACAACTAAGGTTAACATATATTAATAAAAAAGAAAGAAAATATGGAGAGGAGTATATGCATAAGTATGAAATATGATGAAATTTGAAATTTATGATGCTCTTTCTTTGCAGATAGCAATGTACGAAAGCATGTTAGCCAGCCCGCATCGGACATTAAATGGTGAAGAAGCAGATTTCTTTTTTGTGCCGGTTCTTGATTCGTGCATCATAACTCGTGCTGATGATGCACCCCACCTCAGCATGGAGGTATAGTCATGAAACCCTTTCTTTGTAGTTTTTTCTTTCTACCGACCTATACGGGTTTTTTTTCTCAGAAACATAGGGGTTTGAGAAGCTCTTTCACGCTTGAATTGTACAAGAAAGCACATGATCATATCGCTCAACAATACCCCTACTGGAACCGCTCATCTGGAAAAGATCACATTTGGGTATGGTTCAGTTAAATAGTTCACAAAAGAAAATCGATTATAAGTTTCCATATTTGCAAGTCATAACCTAAGAAACTTCGGTTCATGTGTTAAGGCAGTCCTTTTCATGGGATGAAGGCGCTTGTTATGCCCCAAAGGAGATATGGAACAGCATGATGTTGGTCCATTGGGGTAATACAAATTCAAAGCACAACCATTCGACCACCGCTTATTGGGCGGATAACTGGGATAAAATCTCATCGGATGCAAGGGGAAATCACTCTTGTTTTGACCCACAAAAAGATCTCGTCATTCCTGCATGGAAGCGGCCCGATGTGATCTCCTTGAGCTTAAAGCTTTGGGCTAGGTATATTTCCAATCAGGACTAGCTCAGTACCAAAATGAAAAGTTTTTGAAAGTTGGTTCCATTTTGGTACAATTTTCCATATATCAATCGAAACTTATTGTAATTTCATCTTATTAGGCCTCGTGAGAAGCGGAAAACATTGTTTTACTTCAACGGAAACTTGGGGCCTGCATATGAACATGGACGCCCTGAAGCTACGTAAGTGAAACATATACTGAAATTAGCGTTCCTGAGGTAGGGTCGAGGGTAGGATGTAGGCAGACCTTGCCTCTAATACAGTAGGATATTAGTCTACCATATTCAAGTTTTAATTTGGATTACCAGTTTACCATCGACTATATCATATCATGATGCAGATATAGTATGGGAATACGGCAAAAAGTAGCAGAAGAATTTGGATCTACCCCAAACAAAGACGGGAAGCTCGGGAAACAACATGTGGAAGATGTGATCGTGATCTCACATCCTTCAGAAAGTTATCACGAGGACTTGGCGAGTTCCATCTTTTGTGGAGTTATGCCTGGCGATGGATGGAGTGGTCGAATGGAAGATAGTATTTTGCAAGGTTGCATTCCCGTAGTTATCCAGGTTTTGAGCTCTAACTTTTGTTTCCGTACGATTCGATGCTACAATATGAACTTCTTCTAAAACTAGTTTCCATGTTCAGGATGGGATCTTTTTGCCGTGGGAGAACGTGCTGAACTACGAGAGTTTTGCTGTTCGATTAAGTGAAGACGAGATACCAAACCTCGTAAATATCCTCCGGGTAATTCCTCTAGAAATTCATCGTTTTTGTAACACTTTTTATTGCTAATTTCATGGGCAAATTGCATGAAAATGTTAACATACTTTGACGTGATTCCTATAAAAACCTTCATTTTAGACCAATGTACGTTGCATTCTCTTTATGTAATCTACGTACCTCTTTGGTTCTAACGGACTGACCATATATCTCTACTTGTCTTTTCGACCATCCAGTTGAAATAAACATGCAAATATGTTACAAGTATAACGTAGATTTTTTTGAATTTGAAATGGTATGGTGGTTCTCCATGTAGGCGTTCAACGAAACAGAAGTAGAATTCAGGTTGGCGAACATAAAGAAGATTTGGCAAAGATACTTGTATCATGATTCAATCTTGCTCGAGGCCGAAAGACAGAAATCTGCATATGGGTACATCAAAGATTGGGCCCAACAGTTGTCCGAGCTAAGCGACGATGATGTGTTTACGACGTTCATACAGGTATACACGCTTTCATACCTCTCAGAACTACTAGATACAGTTTATTTACTCCGTTTTCTTAACAACCCGAATCTATTTTCATGCTAGATACTGCATTACAAATTGTACAACGACCCTTGGAGAAGAAAAGACACAAATCCGAAGGAGACCGGCATACCTCAAGAATGCTTACACAAAGTATAGTTAAGAACATCCATTTTATAGCGAACACGAAGAGACTGTAAAAAGTGGCGTCAGGAACGTTGAGTGGTTACATATTCATGGAACCCGAGCTGCAATACGGAGCGTTGTGGGGATCACGAAAACACCACGTTGTAATATTGTTTTTTCGTTATCGGGTTCTTTTTGTTTTTGTTTCTGTTTCTTGTTACCATACTTTCAGTTTTGTGTAGAAGCAAAGGGCAATTTCCTTTGTTTTGGTAGGAACCGTTTCAGGAACACTTGATGTGCCCATTTTTGCTCATCTTTATGGTTACTTTGTGTTGATAAATGATAATATCTGGTGTTTTTGAATCAACTAATTCCTGTTCTTAAGATGGCTTTTATTGGCTGCTATTAAGATAATAGTTTTTTTTTTATTAACCTGGATATTCAATCCGCTATGCGAGCCGACTAATCTCATGGCGACCACCTGCTTTGCAGATAGCCCGGATTTGAACCTCCGTGGCCACAAGAGGATTTTTATTCTTTCTTGGATTTGAACCTGGGACCTCCAGGTACTTTTGACGTTCGGAGCCAAGTTCAAACCAATCAGGCACCACCCTTGTGGTTAAATGCTTACCCATCATTTTACCTTATCGGATTTGAGAATCTTACCCGGTAAAAATGAAGACAAGGACCGATAGTCTTACCCGATAATAGCTTACCGGATAAATGACTTTTTCCTTTTTGTTTTATGGCAATCATGATTATCACACTCATGGTTAGATTTTGTGCACATGTAACATCATTATGTGTTTTAATCCTTAAATAGGGTTTGGTAAGCGTTTACCAGTAAATTTTAACACTATCATTTACTTACGGGGTAAGATTTTTAGTTCACCAAAACGGTATCGTATGCAACAATTTACCCGGTAAGCGCGCTTACCGGGTAAGAGTCATCGCCCTCGCTTACTGGGTAAGACTATTGGTCCTTGTCTCGCTCTTATCGATAAGATTCTTGGTCCTTATCATATTCATTCGGTAATATAATGTGAATTGATGTTTACTTACCTGAGTAAACATTTAGTAAACGGCCCCTTAATGAATTTAATTAGTGCTTTTATTATAAAAAGTTTTAAATTAGTCAAATTTTTTTTACATTTATATATTTTTGTATTAAGATATTGACCATTGAAAGAGGTAAGGGATAAAGAAAATTCGTACCTTACCAATTAAAATGTCAGGTATAGGATTAATGAATAATTAATAGACAAACCTAATTTTTTATTTAAGTGGTGACACAATTTGACTATAAGAAATAAATATAGCTATATGTTTCACGAAATCATTATTGGTTTATCGGTTAGTTCATCATTTTTTTATTAACCTGGATATCTAATGCGTTATGCGAGCCGACTAATCCCAGGGCGACAACCTGTTTTGCAGATAGCTCGGAGTCACCGCATTTGAACTTCCGTGGCCACAAGAGGATTTTTATTCCTCATTGGATTTGAACCTGAGATCTCCTAGTACTTTTGACCTTTGGAGCAAACTCAAACCAATCAGGCACCATCCTTATGATTTAGTTCATCATTTTTCATATATGAGGTTCTAGTTTCAAGTACTCTATTGCTATTTCTTTTTTGCAAAAACATAATATATCTGAAATTAAAAGTCAAAAACTAATAAAATGACACTAACCACGTTCAAAATCAAGTGGACCTAGTTGGTCAATCATAAAAACATGAGGGGTTATATTTGTAAAATTTGTATTTTGGAGGGTTTTAATGTAAATTAACTCTTATAACATAATTCGTCCCTGTCTGCGCCTTCTTTTCTCCAGAAACCCTTGCTGTCGCTCTCTCTCACATACAGTCAAAGTCATGAGCATCACCTCTCTTCGGCTAGACACAAACCCTATCACCGCTCCGCCCAGGGGATTCAGTGTCAGTGGCGGAAGCTGCATCAGCACAGTATCCCGACGCATTGATCTTCACAACCATCGTCGGTGGTGGAAAACTGGTCCAATTTCATGTTCAGCATCTCCGCCAGTGACCGTCAAAGAACAGTCGAGTGAAACACCGAGTCGAATCGAAGCACTGAGTCAGGTATCGGGGGTGTTGGGTTGTCAGTGGGGCGATGAAGGCAAGGGAAAGCTGGTTGACATCTTAGCGAAGCATTTTGACGTTGTTGCTCGCTGTCAGGTATATTTTAGTTAGTCCTATCACTCTCTGTGCTAAATGTAGGTTTTCCTATTGCCTGTTAATTCTATGGAAGCAACGTAAATGCCGCTAATATAGGTAAATTATGGCAAAATTTTAGGGATCCATGCTTGTTTCTGTAACTAATGAATCAATGGTCGTCTTTACATGCGGGTCACTTGTTCTTATTTTTAACCTAGTTTTCTTGCATTGTTCTTTTCGATGACTCCATCGTTTGTTGGGTTTTGATAACCCTCTTTTATTGTATTCAACTGGTTTAGAAATAGGTCCATTTTGACTTTGGATGTCAAAATGGTTATGTTCAACTTCTGAATTGAAATACATTTTGAGGAAAAAGACCCTGTAACTGATGGAACTTTATAGCAAGTCCACCAATAGGGTTACATTACCTTAGCTTTATTATATGTTCTTTTGCATACTCTTGTATTGCTCAGGTTTATATTTATACTAGTGGTGTACCTGCCCGATGCAGCGCGGGTGAATCATAATTCTGAAACATTAGTTTCGACTTGAATCATGAGTTTGTATGGTTATTTTGCAAGTCAACTAATATATAAAGTAAAAGGTTAATATGGTGTATTAGCAAAGATTGAATGGAAAAATAATTGCACACGTATTGAGTTTCTAAACCCATATACCCAGAACTCATTACAAAACTTGAAATTCTTGACTGAACAAAGAAATACAATCATTTGTAAATAATGCTCATCCGTATATCCAAATTGTTGCTTAGTTTTCGTGATGCACTCATCTGTAAATATTTCTTGCAAAAAACGGCGCAATGATTTTAATAGAAACATATGGTACCAAATGTGTAATAATATAATTGTTGATTATACCTTATTCGTCATGTAAAACTTCTTGATAGAAGACGTTTGAGGTGTAGACTCCGGCAAGATTGAATTTTTTCACAGGTTTCACTAACACTTTCGTATTGCCCCATGATATCCCCTGGGTTAGAAAACTACAGTTGCTAAAGAAAACGCATAACACATCATGATATTTCATATGGCTTATAATATACCCTTACATGTGAAGGCTCTGATACATGCATAAGTTTCTAGTCGAGCGCTTCCAAAAACTGCGTATTATGCAATAACATTAGAAAGTGAGATTGAGCCAAAGGGCAATAGAAACAAGGAAAGGACCATTTCAGCATAAATCAAATACTAATGGACCTTATCCTCAAGTATCTTGATCTGTTCATCCATCCTTTGTTGCTCCCCTTCTTCAAAAAATGATTTTAATCTGTATTTAAAACTTGAAGTTAGAAGGGGTAAAGTTACAACCATCATTTATGAGAAATACGATATCCAAATAAACAAATTAGCCACAACAAGAACTGAAGGGTGCAAATGTAAGAATAGATCAGTTGAAAGCCAATGCACAGGCCAACAACCATAATGTTAAGAAAGGAAGTTCCAATATTGATCTGAAGCAACCAAACAACTAAAATAGTCCTTATAGTCCAAAAACACAACATCAAATTTAAAATATAACCCCACCCTCAGGCTAACAGAATCTGAAACACAATACTTTGTTCAAAATCCATATCAACCAAAAAAATACCAACACTAGGTGATCCGTCGCTAAAAGCTTCCTTATTTTCACATCAAGCATCCCTCTTTAACACACTAAAATGGTAAAATCGAACAACATTGATGCGTTTTTATATGTCGATAGGTTCGGAACACTTTGGAGCGAAAAAGGGACAAAAAGAAGTTTTTTGACAGCTTTACGAGATTATGGTATTTCAAGCATATCTAACTCGTCTGAGCTCGGATTTAAGTTATTCAAGATGATCTGGAAAGCTAACAAACAGCCCCACAACTTTTAAGTTTTGAGTTTCTGCAGATTCGGACTGCTTCTAAGACGAAATTGACGTCGAAGGCGGGAAAGAGCTGCTGGACAGCAGCTGACAGCAGCCACAAGAATCTTGATCTTACCTTAAGAAAATTGTATTTACATGCTCCCTGCAATAGTCATAGAAGTACCTTGGACTTGTAAATAAACATCACAGAACTTGTTAGAACCTCACCAAGCTTGCAGATCTCTTCAGCTCAAGTTTGGCATTTACATAACACAAATTTGGCCTGTTACATAATTGCAGAATTGTGATCCAGCTCCAGTCACCATCAGCTGCAGATCTGGAGAGGGACAGCCGGGAGATTTTACTTTTAACTGTTGCCTCGTAAGAAATATCAGCCCCAAGACCCCCATCATTTTCAGGGTTTACCTTTTGCATGCTATTACCTTTTTCTGCCAAATTTTTAACACAAGGTTCCAAAAGGCTAACCAGATTAGAGATTTGCCCAACATCTATTAGAGAAGACCTCCGGTCACCATAGCTGGCCATTTCTGCATGCTGTCGGGGAGGAGGCCTCCGGTCATCAGAGTTGACTGTTGCTGCATGTTGCTTGCTGTTATGAGACCGAACCAAAGCAACTTTCTTTTTGGATAGGGACCTATCAAAACTTAGCTCGTCCTTTTCTTTTTCAGAAAAAAGAACTTTTCATTTCCATCACATCATTTTCCAAAGTCAAACCCTCACCCTTACTACTTTCCTGGACCTAGAAGAGATTTTCATGCAAGGGGGAATTAAGAAAAGCAACCACATCTTCGGTATTCTTAGAGCATGGGGGATTCCCAAAAAGGAAATTTTTTTTGTTATTATTTTCTTTTTTAAAATTCAAGGACATGAACGTTGGATCATCATCTTGGGAGGAATTGCCCAGAGAGGATCCAGGAGAGATAACATTAGGAGAGGAAATAACACAACTTTCTGCCATCAAGACTTCTCTAGATTGCAAACCCACATGTGCAGCAGAAGACCTACATCTAACTCCAGCTTCTTCATGAGAGAATAAGACTTCATTTTCAGCAATAGAAGTAGGATGGCGGAAGGTGAGCTCCTTCTGATTAAAGGTTGGAGGAAACAAAAATACTCCCACTCTTCTCCTCTATAGGATTATTAGAGACAGTAACAACAATCCAAGGTAAGGAAACGATAGAGGGAAGAGGGAGGTAACCATTTTCAATATCCACAAGCACCTTCTCCTCATCAGAGCTTCTTCTTCCCAGGTTGAAAGCAAGAACATCCAAAGCCAGGGGGGGGGGACTTTGCATAACTTCTCTTGATCTTCTTCATAAATAAAACTCTTGGTCAAGGTAGGGGACTTCCTATGCTTAACCAGCTTCTCATTCTTATGAGATTTTGATGATGTTTCAGCAAGATCAGTACGAATAACCTTAAAAGTTTGACCATATCGCATAAGCTTAAGACGATTATTAGGAAATCTTGTTTTCCTATGTTGTGATTCCTCCACCAAGGGTGAAATACCAGCCATAGTGAACAAGAAAGAACAAAAAACAACCAAGAACAATGAAAAACTTTGAGAAAAAAAATTCTAGAGAGAGAAAGTAGAGGAGAGCTGGAAAAGGAGGAAAAGGAAGAAGAGCAGAAGAAAGTAAGTTCTGACTTACCAATTTTGTTAGAGAAAGTCTCAAATTGCGAGAGATAGTCAATGTATCAAAAACTTGTACATCATGCTTCATGAGTTGCAATTAAGAGATTTTTGAAATTCTTGCATAAAATGGTTGTACCTTGTGTTTAAAGACTTGTACTTAATACTTTGGTTTAAATGATCATTAATATAGTATAGATCTGATATTGTATCAACAAAATTTTAATTATGTTCATGTCTTAGGAGGAAGTGTCGCTAGTGCTGTTATAACTTGTTTCATTATCCTGGACATAATGCATATTTAGGTTCACAAATATTGAAAATAATAAAAGAACAAGTACTAAAGTTGGATCACTTAACGTACCAAACCAAACTAAGTCGGTATATCCCACTCCAAAGAGTAGAGTGACTGTCTGCTTGCAGACCCCTGCCTAATTTGGATCTCTTGATGTGTCTGCCTCAGATTCACTTAAGCAATTAGGTTGTAGATCTTAGAAGGTTTCTTTGCTGCTTAGCTTTTAATGCTTTTTGGAACAATGGCGTTACTTTTTGAAGGAAAGGATGCTACATGGGCATCGCTATCGTTTGCGTATAATTTTCCTTCTTTTATGATCTGAGCTAACGTCTCTCTACCATCAAGTATTTCCTTTCCATTATTTCAGTTCTTTACTAAGGCTTAGATATATTATTCTCATTTAACTTGCTTATTTAGAGAAGATATGAAACATTTTAAAGAAACTTTATGATCTTTACGTGTTGCTTGCTTCTTATAAGATATAAATATTAAATATTTAAATGCTCGAACATGAAACATTTGGTTGTTTGTCATGTACCAATATATGATTTAGAACAGAGAACAAATAATTTGGTTTTGGTTTGTGTTAGAATAATAGGCTAAGTTATGTCATTATATGTGTTTTATGTATACTAGAATGGTATTCGCGCAATGTAGCGAGATACATCTCGATTTAATTGTTTCATTTTATTCTGTTCTCGTTGATGTTATAATACGATTTTATGTGGTATTGAAAAAACGATAATGTTTTTATTTTTTTGAATAAAATATAAATTTGTGTGTATGATAAATTTTTGAAAAACAAATATCGATATTAGTATCAAATTAAATATTCAAAAGTTTTTGCTTTTTTTTGGGTAATTTCTTTAATTTAATTTTTTATTATAATTTAATTTAGATTTAATAATAAAGTCATTTATTTTTGGTTTAATAATATAGTTTTCTTTATAAAGATAATTAATATTCTGTTAGAATTCAATAATTTTTCTAAGTATATTTTGGATTTTTTATATTCAAAATGAGATATTTATCCAGTATAATAAGTTGTACATATGCATGGAGCTTTAATAAGTTGTACATTTGCACAATTTACTTGTAATATTGAGTTTTAAGTAATATGCATCAATAAACAATACTTAATGCATCAAAAATGGTTTTTAAGAGTTTTTGTCAAATCCTTTATAATATAGTATAGATAATAGGCTAAGTTATGTCATTATATGTGTTTTATGTATACTAGAATGGTATTCGCGCAATGTAGCGAGATACATCCTTGGTTTAAAAATGCGAGCATTATGCGCTCTGATGCGTGATGCGCTCTGATGCGCTGGACAGAACGCATCAAAGAGGCTGATGCGATGCGATTCCATGATGCGATGCGATTCCATGATGCGAACGCATCACCTACGCATCACACGATGCGTGCATCACTTAGGCATCAGCGCATCATGTATGTTGCGTTTTGGGCTCCCTTTTTTAGTGTTTACTTGGGCTTTTTAGTTGGGCTTTTTTTAGTTGGGATTCTTAGTTATGTAAAATAGAACCTGGGGTTAGAGAACCCGTGTTGGGGTTTGATGATGCTGATCTTGGGGAGTATTAGTTGGTCACTTGGTTGGTCATTTAGTTTAGGGATTAGGACTATTAGACATATACTTGTGTAATTGTGTTCTCTTTTTTTTTTTTGTAAGGGTGTCCGGGCCAAAACCCGACTAATCCCCGGCAAATTTGGAGGCTAAACATGGCCCCACTTAAATGTCGCCAACACTCCCCTCCCAGGGTTCGAACTCGGGTTCATGACTATGCCATGCCCAAGCCTTTACCACTAGGCTGGAAGGTCTTTGACTTTTAGACCATAATTGTGTTCTTCATGGTAGTAGTTTGTGTGTTATGTACTTCTGTTATTCTGATTCACGAACTTTTTAAGATTCTAATGCCACTTTTTTAACTACTTTATGTTATAAATGAAGTATTTTGATAGGTAAGTATTTTTAAGGTAGAAATTGATATGTAGAATTAATTTATAAATATTTTTTGAATACCGGGCGCATCACGTGCGTGATGCGAGCGCATCAGCATCACGCATCACGCATCGGCTTCCGGGACCCTTAACGCATCGGACCGCATCGCGCTTTTTAAAACCAAGGATACATCTCGATTTAATTGTTTCATTTTATTCTGTTCTCGTTGATGTTATAATACGATTTTATGTGGTATTGAAAAAACGATAATGTTTTTATTTTTTTGAATAAAATATAAATTTGTGTGTATGATAAATTTTTGAAAAACAAATATCGATATTAGTATCAAATTAAATATTCAAAAGTTTTTGCTTTTTTTTGGGTAATTTCTTTAATTTAATTTTTTATTATAATTTAATTTAGATTTAATAATAAAGTCATTTATTTTTGGTTTAATAATATAGTTTTCTTTATAAAGATAATTAATATTCTGTTAGAATTCAATAATTTTTCTAAGTATATTTTGGATTTTTTATATTCAAAATGAGATATTTATCCAGTATAATAAGTTGTACATATGCATGGAGCTTTAATAAGTTGTACATTTGCACAATTTACTTGTAATATTGAGTTTTAAGTAATATGCATCAATAAACAATACTTAATGCATCAAAAATGGTTTTTAAGAGTTTTTGTCAAATCCTTTATAATATAGTATAGATAACAGGTCATGGCCGTATTTGAAGCAGGCATCCACCAAAATCTACCACTATACGAAACTTAAACCTTTCTATACTATAGCATGAAAATACATATAATCCAATAAGTCACCATAATTAACTTATGCATCTGCCAACAAAAGATCAAAATCAAAATTTTATCGGTACAAGTATCACTACTTTTTTCAAGTTTATACTTTACCTTTGATGAGGCTTGAACTCTTGAGTTGTAAAAATGTTACCAATGCATCTGCCAACAAAAGATCAAAATCAAAATTAGTTCAAGAATAGAGATGGGAAAATACGGTCCAAAGATCTAGGATTTTGAAGAATTAAGCATAGATGAAGAAGTCAAAGTCATCTAATTTTGTAGAGATATAAATAAGCAAATACTAACAAAGAAATAAATAATTGAGATAAACATTAATTAGAATTGATCCTTATCGATATTAGTTAGTTAGACATATATTTAAGGGAAATGGATATGGATGAACATTGTGGGTGGGTTGGGGGTGATAACAAAAAGTTAGAAGCTTTATTAACTTGTATTAATGCATCATTAGTTTGTATTCTTAAATTTTAAGCAATCTACATTAAAAGTTAGTACGTTATGTATTATAATTTGTATTTAAGAGTTCTGCGTAAATGCTTTATAATATAGTATAGATATAGATAACTAATGTAAGGGGGTGTTATTTTATGCTGGCTCAAGGCCTACCATTAAAAGATGTTCACAGGGGCCAGAACTCGGTCATAGGAACTTAGACCACAAAAAGGGAAGAGCTCCTTCTCAATCCCATTCGTACCATGTCTACTTTKTTACTATGGATCACGTCTTCGGAGGCTAATTTCGGTGACATAGATTGGAGAATGGTTAAATGCTTCTTAAGGAAAGAACTCCTTGCTAACTGCTTCAACTTTCTACTTAGGTGAAAACCACCTCAACCATATCAGAGTAAACAACAGGTCGACCACTACACTACATAGAAGCGATGGCGAAGCCAAGCCGTATAAGGGAGAGCAACCCTTATAGCAAGAGCAAGACAGGCGCTAGCCTCTTATCTTAAAGGCTATCGATATCCTTCTTGAGGAGCAAGATTGTCTAACCTCCTTAGGATAGTGATTCTATCTTACCGCTTATTAGAACATAGGAGAAAAGCACTATGCTGGCGTCATGAGTGTTCTCTTTTACCTAATGATCAGACAATTTTCTTGCGAAATCCATCTTCAATTTTGAGTTTGTTAGATCTGATAAATTAGTTACGATTTAGAAACGTTAAAGAGAATCTTGCAAGAATTAAAATCTCATGAAGATTTATTTACCAAGTGGTATTAGGCTCCCTTAATGGGTGTGCCTAACAATCAGTCAAGAGTGAGCTCATTAAGCAATAGCAAACTACAAAGCTCTAGCTAAATTAATATATGCTGGAGTATCTTAAAGCCTTAAAGGTGGCACAAATCCTTCTACATTTAGACATAATTTAGTTCAACAGAAGAGTAAGATGTTTTACTCTTGTTTTTACAATAGGCTAATTTTCTGAAAATGAATTCTGAAATGGCAAGCTGGAATCTCCTTGTTTTAATTTTTTCTGGATCTACAACACCATGTAAAGGTGTTTATCTTCTAGGTCTTACATTGATTTTTAGTATAAAGTCTTAACCAACAAAGGCTGGGACAATTGTGGCCATCTAGTTGTATTACTCCATGGGTCCCAAAATAAATGTCCAAAATGAAAAAAGGGCACAAGTTTAAGGAATCTGTAATCGTTATACTTTTTAATTAAGTGAATGACAATTTTACTCTTAATGATAAGGAACTAAAGGATTTCTCATCTCATAATTAAGAATAAAATTGGAAACTAGATACTTGTGAACGAACTAAAATAGAAATGTGGATACTTAATTTGGGACGGAGGGAGTATCTTAATCCATGAACAGTCACTTGTGGCACTTTGGATTTCTTACCATCTTCTCAAGAAAAATAATGGATTCCGTAATGTGAATTTTTATTTTCATCCATGTTTCTTTCCATAATGTGATTTTTTATTTTCATCCATGTTTCTTTCCTACTTGACACGGTTACATGTAGGTGTTCTCACAATAAAGCCTTCAATGCACTTTATCTTTCAGGGTGGAGCAAATGCTGGGCACACTATCTACAATTCTGAAGGCAAGAAGTTTGCACTTCATCTTGTTCCCTCGGGGATTCTAAATGAGGAAACTGTGTGTGTTGTGGGAAATGGAGTTGTGGTGCATCTTCCTGGGTTCTTTAATGAAATTGATGGCCTTGAATCTCATGGGATTTCCTGCAAGGGAAGGATTCTAGTGTCTGATCGTGCTCACTTATTATTTGATTTCCATCAAGAGGTAGACGGGCTTAGAGAAACCGAGTTAGCCAAGTCCTTTATTGGCACTACTAAAAGAGGAATTGGACCCTGTTACTCTAGCAAGGTCATTCGAAATGGTATAAGGGTAAGCGACTTGAGGCATATGGATACTTTCCCTCAGAAGCTTGATCTTATATTATCAGATGCAGCTTCAAGATTCAAGGATTTTAAATATACCCCAGATATGCTCCGGGAAGAAGTTGAAAGGTACAAAAGATTTGCTGAGAGGCTGGAACCCTTCATTACTGATACGGTACATTTCATGAATGAATCTATATCACAGAAGAAGAAGATTTTGGTGGAAGGTGGTCAAGCAACTATGTTGGATATTGATTTTGGAACATACCCTTTTGTAACTTCTTCCAGTCCATCAGCTGGTGGGATATGCACTGGCCTAGGGATTGCTCCCAGAGCTCTTGGGGATATTATTGGAGTGGTAAGCCATTTGAATTGGGGACCGTTGGTTAAATGACCTTCTGACAGGTTTTGACAATGTCACTGCTTAACAGAAGAATGCCACTTCGATACACAATAATGCTTAAAAATCTGTCAGAAGGTCATGGATTCAAAAAAACATTTGTTGAAGAGGTCATTTAGCTAATTAACCTGTTGAATTGGCATATCCTTCATTTGTTCAAGATTTCAAACTTTATTTCGTGCGTTTATTCATGGTGTATATATCTGTAAGCATGTGCATGCTCACCTATTCTGCATTCATATTACATATATTTTTATTTTAGAAATTCATGATTTGCAGTGACGGGGGAAGTAAGGTGTGTTCTAAAGTCTGTTGTTTTATTGGATGATATTGTTTTCTTGAAGAAGTTATATTAGATGTGTGCTCTTGTGGTAATTTTCGTAGAACTTTGTATATTAGATGTGTGCTCTTGTGATAATTTTCAAAGAACTTTGTAATAAGTCGCCGATGTTTACCAATGTCTTTTTTTGTACCTTTCAACTTCTTCATCTGAAAAGAAGATAAAATTCTGAGCTATCAAGTTCTCCATTTGTGAAACTAATTGCTTTCTTGGTGCAGGTTAAGGCATACACTACTAGAGTTGGATCTGGTCCTTTTCCAACAGAATTATTGGATAAAGCTGGTGATCTTCTGCGGTTTTCTGGGCAGGAGTTTGGCACAACCACTGGTCGTCCTCGTAGATGTGGTTGGCTCGACATAGTTGCTCTTAAATACGTTTGTCAGATAAATGGATTTTCTTCTTTGAATCTCACAAAACTTGACGTTCTGTCTGATCTTCCCGAGATTCAGTTGGGTGTTTCTTACAAACATTCTGATGGTACACCCATCAATTCATTCCCTGCTGATTTACATGTTCTCGAGCAGTCAAAGGCAAGTGCCATTTTCTCTCCTCTTCCTCTGTTTCAATTTTCTTCTTTTTAATGTGGGGTTTGTGGGAAAAAGACAAACAGTTTTTTTGCTGTTTACTGAAACGCTGATTAAACAACAATACTTAGAACTCATAAAATGCACAGTAAAAAAAGCCAATGTTCAGAATGATGCAACTTCTGGAATCAGATAGCTTCTCTATATTTTTTCTGCATCATATTTGGGTTTTCATTTGGAGATGTTGTATGTGTTTTAGGTGGAGTATGAAACAATGCCAGGGTGGCTGACCGATATCTCTTGTATAAGAAACTACTCCGATCTGCCAAAGGCTGCACGCCAGTATGTTGAAAGAATAGAAGAACTGGTTGGCGTGCCAATCAATTACATCGGTGTTGGACCCGGACGTGATGCTCTTATCTACAAATGATGAGAACATTTGTAGCAACAACTCAAGGAAGCATTTCCTCAAAATTCATTGGTGAGATTCAAAACCTTAGTTGCCATATTTACCCCTAGTGGGCACACATTTTGCTTTGACTCATTCCCTTGAGAGATGTAACCAAGAATTTTACTTCTGGGAAGATGGAATGCTATGGTAATATCATCTTTAGTTGTTAGCAGAAGATCATCAATCTTTCAACTGAAGTTTTGAAGGATAATGGTCAGGTATGCCTCAATAAAATACAGCATTTTGTAAAGCTATTTCCTGATGCATATGAATGAATACCTAATTAATTCAAACAGTTTCAGAAACCCATGATTGTTATAGTCTATTTTCTGGGTGGCAGGGGTTTCTTTACAAGAAGAAAGTTATGGGGAGAAGTGTAAGAAGAGATTTGAACCCTTGATCATCTTTAATCTCATTCTCATCCATGAATTGCGTTTGAGAAGAGAAAATTAACTCGGTACATCTTGGTGCACCTCATTAAAAACCTAAATATACATATAGGGGGTGTTTGGGATTGCTTATAAAAACAACTTATTGACTTATTCCGATGTGGCAACGGTAATAAGCACTTTTAAGTATTTGGATAAACAACTTATACCGGTGCCAAACCGGTAATAAGGAGTTTTTGAAGAAGTTAAACCCTTCTGACTTATAATAAGTTGATAAGTGCTTTTGTAAAAAAACTTAAGTTGTTTTAAATAATCAATCTCAAACACCCCCATACTATAGTTTTGGGTTTCGTTGATAAGTCAAATTTTGGTGAAAATCGTAAGAGGACTTTGTTAACGGAAGTTAAACATGTTAACGCTTCATAATTAACGTATGTGAACATTTTCATGTTATCATCTGTTTACATTTTCTTTTATTAACTTTATTGTGTTTATCATCAATTTTTGATTCATTACACAAACCTAATTATATATGCAGCGGTCTATTCGAATGAGAACTTTGCAGTTTGTGATGACCATGAGATCCAATGTGAGCCATTCACTTAAAGATAATGTTATTTTTTAAAATAAAATTAAGGGTAAATTAATAATTTGATATTTTCATTTTTGTATTTAATTAAATTAATTTAACCATCTCTCTCTCTCTCTCTCTATGTATATATATATATATATATATATAAGAACCGTCTCTCCATATTCTCATTTTGTATTACCAAAATTAACATTTGGTATTGTGAACACGTTATAAACAATGAGTATCATAGTGGGTATTAACGTGTATACAATGGTATCACAGTCGGTATCAATGTGTATACAATGAGTATCACAAGCATTGTAAGAAGATTGCTCTGCATTCTTCATTATTCAATAATAGATCAAAATCTTTGACTGCTAATACTTTTTTCTAAACTTGTTTTATATATTCTTAATATACGGGCACTTTCACCTTTCATCACATCATGACCCGACAAACAGACTTTATCGCATCCTTTATATTCGACAAGTTATGTTCATACCACGTTTCATGCGACAAGTTTGGATCCGACAAGTTTGGGTGTGACAAGTTTGACCCGACAAAGTTGTGTGTGACAAGTAGGGTATGACAAGTTTTGGGGTGGGGTGCAATAAACAGTTGGGTGCGCTAAAAGTTATCAATTTGTGGTTTCCGAATTATTTTTCTAAGTATTTCAACCATGTTATGTACGATCAATTGATTTTTAAGAACAATGTCATCTCGAGAAGCAGTAGCTATCGGTTCGAACACAAAACTTCATGTCCTATTCAGAGGGGATTATCCTCAATGGAAAGAAAAATTCCTTGACTTTATTGACAGACAAAGACTTGGAGACTAGAAAGGTTGAGAGTTATTCGTACCAAGCTCTGGGTGCCTATTTGAGGCTATACAGAGCTTTGTCTAGATTGTAGACATACTATGGATGTGTAGAGCTCTCGAACCCAGGTGGTTGCTACAAATATACTTTTTCTTTAAGCTTACCATTCAGAAAGGCTGACTTAACGTCCATTTGATAGACTCAGAATTCTTTATATGCAGAGAAGGCCAAGAACAATTGAATTGCTTCTAGCCTTGCTACTTGCGTAAAGGTCTCGTCATAGTCTATGCCTTGGCAGTAGCCTTTGGCAACTAACCTGGCTTTCTTCCTTATAATAATGTCATCATCATCCTTGTTCTTGAACACCCACTTAGTACCAATAGCAAGTTTATCTTTAGGTGGAGGAACAAGAGTCCATACATTATTCCATTCGAACTAAAAAAACTCATCTTGCATGGCATCGACCTAGCTTGGGTCTTGGAGTGCTTCATGGATCTTCTTTGGCTCTATCATGCTTAGAAAGTTTAAAAATAAACATTCGTTTGCAGTGGCAACTCTGGTCTCTACGCCTGGGAAGGATTACCAATAACTTGGTGCGAGGGATGGTCTTTTGTCCATCTCGTCATAGGAGGATGTGGTGTGGGTGGAGTTTGAAAATCTTGCTTAATTGGAATGTTCCGCATTGAGTCTCTTATAGGTGATGATGTCTCTGCTTGCTCCCCCTCGGATTGTGGTACAAGGTGACCAGGTTCAGATACATAGATGGTATTATCTGATTCTTAAGGATTGGGCTCTGATACAGAGTTGTTTGGCTCTGGTTCTAGATCTGCAAGACCACAAGAAGGAGTAGAGGCATCAGAAGGGCCAGAGATAGATGTACCCGATGGTTGTGGCTCTTCATGAACACCTACACAAGCATCTCTAGTTGCACACACGGAGATGTCTTCATCACCAAAGAAGTCTTGAAATAGCTCCTCGAGTTCTGATTCCCTTGACTTTGAAAGGAAATCAAAAGTCACGTTGTTTAGCTTGAGTTTAGAGCTGGTTAGCCTATGACACCAATATATAGGGTCATTTACAAGACAACTAGCCTAAGCCCATAAACTCTCTAAAAGCCCAAAATACAAATCTTTATAAAACATTCATAAAATTATAGGCTAATTTTGTCTAACATAAAATCAGCTAATATATGAAGAGTATTAGATTTCCTTATAACTTCTAATTTTATCAATCCTAAAATATGCATTTTAAAATCTTCTATATCTTAATTAGTTGGCTTTATATTTTTTTTTCTCTTTATTATTGTATTCTGGATTTTTAATTCTTCACTCACATAAGACTTATCTTTTCCCCATATTTGATATTTTTTAAATAGATAAAAAAATTCACTTTGGTTTCATAAGAAAACCACATTATATATATATATTATATATATATATATACACACACACATATATATATATATATATATATATATACACACATATATATATATAGGAGGTTCACTTTACAAAACACGTTATTTGTACAAACCGTACAAACCTCATTCAACCAATCATAATTTTCATTTTGTTCATTTTTTTGTAATTATGAGAGCTTGATTAATCATTTTTATCGTAGATGGTGTTAATCATGGATATTATCATCTTCATTATTTTAATTTTAGAGAAATACATAAAACGGTTTTATTAAGATTTCATTAAGTATTATATGTAATAATTTCATAACCATATATGAAACAACTTCATAAAAATAATTTAAATGTAACAGTTTCACAAGATTAAACAATTTCATGAAAAAATTTCATAAGATTAAACAATGAAATCGACAGATGAGGTTGGTTTGCATGGTTTGTACAAATTGGGTGGTTTGCATTTGATCGCTCCTATATATATATATATATAGAGAGAGAGAGAGAGAGAGATAATTTGTTTCAAATACAACTCATCGCATTTGTACAATCAATATAACCCAATAAATTGAATTATTTATAGAAATGATGAGAGTTCATTTATTATGATTTGAATATTTATGAAAGATGAATATAGTTCATTAATTATGATCAATACTTTATATTAGAAAACAAAGAAAACTTCTATAAAATCACATATTAATCAAATGAAATGGACGGTTGAGATTGGGTTGTATTAGTTGCACAAATCTCAACCGTCTATTTTATTTGATTAATATGTGATTTCATAGAAGTTTTAATTGTTTCCTAATATAAAATATTGATCATAATTAATGAACCATATTTATCTTACATAAATATTCAAATCATAATAAATGAACTCTCATCATTTTCATAAATATCTCAATTTATTGAATTACATTGGTTGTACAAATGCGACGGGTTATATTTTAAACAAACTCTCTCTCTCTCTCTATATATATATATAATTTTGAATAAATTATAGTTTGTAATTATGAAAAGCTTTATTTATTTTTTGTTTTCTAAACTAAAACACAACCAGTTTTTTTATATTTGTCGGTAACCTTTAGATGATTATCCAAGGATTTACCGATGGTTTTTTTTTTTTTTTTATTAAATTTATTTCTATTTTTTATAGCGTATTGGGTAATCCTTACGTTTTATAAATAAAGTTTTTTCTAATTTTTTAGTATATCGGGATTACTAATGGTTTTTTTTAAAGAAAATTTATTTCTAATTTTTTCTAGTGTACCGGGTAATCCGTGGTGCTTATTCATGGTGATTTTTGTAAGTAAAAGTCATTTGTTTAGTCATTTTATCGTTAATTACAACCGTTGAGCATTGGTATGAAATAAAAATAATTGAATGTTTGTTGCGCTCATTGAAAACAAATCATCGTTACATTCAATAAAACCTATAAGAATTTGGTTATATTATGATTATTTTTTGTCTTAGAGGGTGTTTACTTGTGACTGAATGGGCTTAATGAGTTGAATAGCTTATTCGCACAACCAAAATAGGGTGTTTACTTGTGGCTTATTTACTCGGATGATGACTTATTTGCAGAGATGGAAATGTAATGTTGTCCACTTTCAGCCAAAAAGAAGACACACCTACCCCTTATACTTTAGAATGGCTCCTTCCAGGTTAGGAACACGTCATTCAACCCTCTACTGGTTCGATTTCTTCATCTCCAAACTTCACCTCCATCATCACCATCTCCATCGTCCCCTACCCCTTTCTCGTTCACTCTGGTTTGACCATTCAACCCTAGGCGCTCCAACATTTCTCCTCTGCTGGTTCGATTTCTTCTCCATAGATAATGATTTCTTCTCCTTCACTCTATAGGTGCTCGATTTGCTATTGTTTTCCCAAGGATGTTGAACTTGAAGTTAAGATTTAGAAGATACGAACTTGGTTTTTGATATCTTGTTGGATTTACATATTTGAATTTCATTTTTTGAGGATTTGGTACATACGGAAAAAAAAGTTTGAAGTTTTTTTTAAAGGATCTGGTACAGATTTAAACTTGGTTTTCCGATTTCATTGTTCATGAAGAGGTTTTTTTAGGGTTTTTATACTCTTGGGTAAAAAAGTTATTTCTGTTGATTCAGATAAAAAAGTAAACAAAAACACAAATTTATCTAAACAGACAAATTTATCCGGAAAGAAATTAACAAAAAATTTGATAAACACCAATTCATATTATAACAAGACATCGCTTGAAAATTCTGCTACCAAAAGTAGATTCATATATATGACTTCCATTTTTGCACTACAATTATAAGAAAGGTGGCCATCATAGAGCTTCACTACTAATATCCATAACATACTATGTCAACTACATGCAAGCTTGCCATGATCATCCATACATCAAACCATGTATATGCATACATTTTGGTGACTTCCATGCATATATATATATATATATATATATATATATATATATATAGCACCATTTCTACTTCCATGCACAGGTTTGTAATGTAACATTATGTTATGTTTATCTGAATCCTACTATATGATCAGAAGTTCCATATGGTGGTGGGCAAAACCAGTTCTTGATCATGATCATCGTAAATCTGATAACCATGATCTTGATCAGATCCATGAAGCTCACTTAGCACGTCCCAGTTGAAATCTTCTTCTCCCAAACCCGATTCTTCAATAACCGCTGTCGATTCGATCTCTTTTAAGTTACTGCAGTTATAACCTTCATGATCAAAGCTGGTTTTATCTTTCTGGTCATCTTTTTTCAGCACTCCCAGTTGCTGAAGGAACTCGTTGAGATCGATCTGAGGCTTTTCTATGCATTCTTTAACATGGGTTTTCTCACTATTCACTTGAACTTGATCATGATTGATCTGATCAAAAATGGAAGAATTGTTGGAGCTGGATGAAGAAGATGAAGATGGCTGAGTTTTCTTGAGTTCTTGGAGTCTTTGATGGATGACATGAACACTTGGTTGGGCGTTAAGATTGAGCAAACCAGTGGCTGGAAACATGGACGCAAGCTTATTGGCAGGAAACCATTTGAATTTGTGAGATTTGTTAAGAGGATTGAAATTGGATCGAAGATGAGGTAAGTTGAGGTAAGCATCGGGACCGTAGAGTCTCCTCGCGGCTTCGTCGTAAGCCATCGCGGCTTCTTCGGCGGTGGCGAACGAACCTAGCCATAGTCGTGTTCGTTTCTTGGGTTCTCTGATCTCGGCCACCCATTTGCCCCAGGTTCTTTGGCGAACGCCACGGAACTCACAAGCGGCATTCTGCGGACCGCCTTTGCCTCTGGTGGGACCTTTCTTCCATGGCTTGAAAGGGGCGGTGGTTCGACGGCAGTTGTCCATGGTGGTGGTGGTGGTGGTGAGTGAAGTGAGATGGGAGTGAAAGGGAGCGGGGATATGTATAGGAGTGAGTGAGTGAGTGAGTATTTGGGGTTAAATGTGGTCACGTTTGAGAATGTATTTCTTTTTGGCTTTTTGAAACCCCCATGTGACCGTTGGATTTATAGTAAGCTCACTATACCAACTAATATCATCTCCAACCAATTTTTTAATAACTAGAAGGGTATTCGTGTAATGTATCGAGATATATCTCGATTTTTAGTGTTTTATTTTAATTTTTTGGTCTCTGTCGATGTTATAATACAAATTTATGTAATTTTTAACAAATAATAATGTTTTTCTTAATAAGATATAAACTTGAAGATATCATAAAAATTAAAAAAATATAAAAGTTTTATTTTTTTTGTGTAATTTCTTTAATTCAATTTTTTTATTGTAATTTAATTTAGGTGTAATGACGAATGAATTTATTTTTGGTTTAATGATATAATTTTTATGAAGATAATAACTAAGTATACTAATTATTCTGTTAGAACTCAATAATTATTCTAATTGTATTTTAGATTTTATATTTAAATAAGAATTTTATTCTGTATTTGATTATATTTATATATAGTTAGTCATACGAATTCAAATATGCAGCTTTAATAAGTTGTACTTGGACACAATTTACTTGTAATCTTGGATTTTAAGTAATATGCATCGATAAACAGTACTTCATGCATAAAAAATAGTTTTTAAGACTTTTTGTCAAATATTTTATAATATAGTATAGATTCCTATTTTAAGAGAATCTAACATTAATTATAATAGTAATATATTTCATTTACTTATTAAAATATTATTTCTCTATTTAAATATTTATTTTCAAAATTCTCTACTGTGCTCTCACTTGGTAACTATTTTTAGGGTTATCTCTAGGGGTGCTCAAAAACCCGATCAATCCAATCTAACCCAATGCAAAATAACTCAACTGAAAGTAACTTGATGTCTAATCGAGTTGTAAAATTGTCAAACCATAGGTATTATGTTGATATTGAGTTACTATTATTTGAACTCAACCCAACCCGATAAACCTGATATCTTTTTATTTCTTAAATTTAATATGATTGTTGAAATTTGTATTAATATATACATTAACAATTACACTATCATGTATGTTTTTTATATACACATATTTTCAATTATTCACATCTCTATATAACTCATTCGTATATATGTTCAGTAACTGTGAACATATATATGTAAATTGAGAAAATTAACTGAATATGATATACGTAAGAAATAGAGATAAGTTGTATCAAATGGTTGATGATGAAAAAAGAATTATGAATAGAGAAATAACATATTCAAGGTTAGAAAAATAATATACCAAAGTATCAACCCGACCAACCCGTACGGGTTGGATTGGGTTAAGTTGCACTTTGGTTTGGTATATGTTGGGTTGAGTTAAGATTTTTCAAACCGCAAACATTGAGTTGGGTTGTTCAAATGTTTTCAACCCGATCAACCCAACCCATGAGCACCCCTAGTTATCTTCATATATATTTAGATAAAAAAAACCCTTCTCTCTCTTATTTTTCACAGCAAATTCCTTCTAACTTATAATAAAAGGATTTTTCTCCATTTTAGAGATAGTTTTGAAAAAGCTTTTGGAGCATAATATTTGTCCATAATCCCCATTTTCACTTTTTTAGAGAAGCCGATGAAGATGCTCTAATAGCTATAAAGATAGGGTTCATGGGATCCTAACAATTAAAACTACTAAGGTTTTTTATACTGTTTTTCAAAGCCTCGCGAAATTGGGTAAGTCTCTTCAGTTCTAAATGTTCACGTCTCTTTCTCATTCCACAAATAAAATTAAGATGAATCGTATTTTTATTCATTTAACTCATTTTCACATTATCTGTTTGAAGATGTATATTCATGTGACGGGTTGAAAGGAACAGAACGTGAGAATTTGAAAAACGTGATTGTTATCCAATGAAAGTAGTTAAGTTGTGCAATGGCTGCTTTGGATATCGACAATTAACAAAAAAAAATGTTTAGGTACAAATCAAACGAGAATGAAGTTTATTTTCATCTATCGTTTTAGATGAATTTAACACTATATTTTACGATATTTTTCACCATGTGAAATTTATAGAAATACATCGTGTGTTTAACATTACATATAATATTTATATTTTTTAAAATAATAAATTTTTTCCTTTGAAAGTTTCAGTTCATTTGTTTATGATTCTATAGTTGATAATCATATCTTGAAACTATATATTAAAGAGCGTAAGGAATTATTTTGGATAATTTCGCTTAAATTTTATGGGTAAAAATTAAAATAAAAGTTAACATGATATTACTATATTATAGAGATAGTTTTTGTTTCAAATGCAACTCATCACATTTGTACAACTAATGCAACTCAATAAATTGAAATATTTATAAAAATGATGAGAGTTCATTTATTATGATTTAAATATTTATGAAAGATGAATAAGTTTCATTAATTATGATCAATACTTTATATTAGAAAACAATTAAAAGTTCTATGAAATGACATATTAATCAAATTAAATGGACGGTTGAGATTGAGTTGTATTGGTTGTACGAATGTAAAGAATTGCATAACTCACCTCTATACATTTATACAACCAATACAACTCAATCTCAACCGTCCATTTAATTTGATTAATATGTGATTTCATAAAAGTTTTAATTGTTTCATAATATAAAGTATTAATCATAATTAATGAACCCTAGTCATCTTCCATAAATATTCAAATCATAATAAATGAGCTCTCATCATTTCCATAAATATCTCAATTGATTGGATTACATTAATTATACAAATGTGATGGATTACATTTGAAACGTCATATATGCGAAGGCAACTAGGCAAGTTTAATGGTATATTTATTGACATTATTTTTATAAAATATATGCTCCTCATAAAAAGAGAAATTTGGTTAATCAAAGTAAAAAAGTAAGTAATTTAATAATTAGTTTTAAATTAATATTTATTTAATGTCATATAAACACACATATGTTTAAGCTCGTATGAGAATGTGAGAACAAGAGTTATGATGAAATTTTGTTCTTATCCCATCGTGATCTACCAATCACATGTTGAGTTACATGTGATTCTGCATGACTTTAGCCACGACTTAAGTCGCAGGCTAAGTTGCTCGCATACCCTTGTGATGGTCGCAGTCCTTAATCGTTATTTCAGTGCAAAATCACATATGGTTTGATTGTTTTCGTGTTTTATTATTTTGACCATGTTCTCGTCTGAACCTCCATCTACATATACATATACATGATAATAGTTAAATAAAAACCATAAAAAGGTTACAAACCTGAGAGAACCAACATAAAAATGTTTTTGATATTTTTTTTTTTCATAAAGAACTATGATTTAAGATATTGTTTTATATATGATTGTATTGACATTGTAAAAGTTGCATGTCAAACTTTTTTTGTTCACTTAGTAAAAGAAAATTAAATATAAAAAATATTAACATGGTCAAATAAATACATATAAAATTATTATGAAACAAACAAATATATATATATATATATATATATACTATATTATAAAATATTTGACAAAAACTTTTTAAAACCATTTTTTATGAATGAAGTACTGTTTATTGATGCATAATACTTAAAATTTAAAATTACAAGTAAATTGTGCGTAAGTACAACTTATTAAAGCTTTATATTTGAATTCGTATAACTAACTGCAGATAAACATAATTAAATAGAAGATAAACATCTCATTTTAAATATAAAAAATCTAAAATATAATTAAGATAATCATTGAGTTATAATAAAATACTTAATTATTATTTTTATAAAAAACTATATTATTATACAAAAAACAAAAACATAAATTAAAGAAATACAAAAAATGAGAAACTTTAAATAGTTAGTTTGGTACTAACATCAATAATATTTTTTTCATTTTTAATGATATTTTCATATTTATATTTTATTCAAAACTTAAAAACATTATCGTTTTCTCAAAACCATATAAAACTGTATTATAACATCGACTGAGACAAAATAAATAAAAACATTAAAATCGAGATGCAAGTACTCTTCTAGTGTGTGTGTGTATATATATAAAGAAGGTTTACTTTACAAAACATGTTATTTGTACAAACCGTACAAATCTCATTCAACCAATCATATTTTTTCATTTTTTTTATTACAAAAGATTGATTAATCATTTTTATTGTAAAATGTGTTAATCATAAATATTATCATTTTCGTTGTATTAATTTTAGAGAAAAACATGAAACAGTTTCATTAAAATTCATAACCATATATGAAACAATTTCATCAAAAAAAATATTATATGAAAAAATTTCATAATTTTTTTTCATAAGATTAAACAATAAAATTGACGGATAAAAGTGGTTTGCATGATTTGTACAAATAAAGATGGTTTGCATTTAATTGCTCATCTCTTTCTCTTTCTCTATATATAAAAGACAATATTTTAAACTCTAGTATTTAATGAAAAATCATATAAAAATAATTCGAAATAAGTGGTCACAGGTTTTTATATGGTTCTCATTTAAGGGACGCCATCATATACATATATATGTATCTAGAAGTTGAATGATGTAGGTAAGTAGTTAAATAATTGTCTACAATCAATGTATACTCTCATCGGATACTCTCCTTCCCACTCCATTCTCTCTTTCACACAACAGAAACACACTGCACTCACACACACACAATATATATATATATATATATATCTCCATGTGTAATGGAGGGAGGGAGAGAGATATATGCACCTCAAAACATTGGAGAGAATCACGAGTTGTGATTCACATGTTCTCCAGTCCTGACCTTTCACGGTTTCAATCCTCCCACACCTTTTTCCCATGCATTTCCATGCACCAACTTAACTCCCATCACTATACCAACGTCTCTCTCTCTCTCTCTCTCTCTCTCTCTCTCTCTCTCTCACACACACACACACTCACACCCAGAGAGATAGAGAGAGAGAGACTACAGAAGCAGCTACATCCAAATCAAACTGTAGATGCAATAATCCAACCCAAATCCATTTGGACCACAAATCAGTACCTACTACACCCAAATTCCCATTCATTACTTACAACACCCAAATTCCCATTCATTACTTACAACACCAACACAACCAGTCCTATCAACAAACACCTATAGTTTTGGTTTCTTAGCTGCAGGGCTTCCTTTGCATATATTTCTCCATTTATCTTTTAGGTCGATTGCCGTACGGCTTTTGTGGAACACCCCTTCACCGAAACTCAATATCTCCCTCCATGGAATTCTCTTATTATCGATACTCCAAAGTCTCTGCACCCCTTCCTGAAGACAAAATTCAAACAAACAAACTGAATTTCTACTTCCAATCAAGTTTTATTAGGAGCTCATTTAACAAAACGAGAGTTCGATTAAATCCATCACCTCCTGACCTATTAAAACAAAAATGGCTGCATGCTCATCGATCTCTTAACGTTATATACCTAAATATCTCGAGTTGTTTTGTTGTAAGCTTTTTGGACATTTGAGCAAATAATTTCCATTATTTAGATGGGAAATATGTAAAAAGGGAAAATAAAACTAGATGAATAGTATCAACAACTTGGCATATGCAGAAACTCTCGAGTACCTTTAGTATCTCCTCCTCTGATTTAGTCCATTGGAGTTTCTTTCGCCCTAATAAAGGAATTGTTGGAGATGTGCTGCAAATTAGAATGGAGGTTCATCATCAAACTCCAGCATAAAGTGAATAAATGAATTTAACTGGATATGGGAACACTTAAATGTCAATATAGAACACAATTCTAGTTATAGAATATAGATTTTGTTTATGCATGTCCTTCTGACATATTTTGAGGCATTCTTCTGTTAGGTATAGGGAAGGTCATGCATTTAAAAAAACGAGTGTTGCTTGTTGAAAGCCACATTCTCGTATACAAAACATATGACCGAGTAAGTGGACCTACTAGGGGCTTTGTGTGTGGAATAAGGATCTACATGCACCATTCATTGTATGGGATTTACTACTTCTCTTCGAATAACAGATGCAAAATACAAGTTTCTTGAGAATGACTTACTACGGTGATTTCTGCTTATAGGATCGTCTTGAGTGATTAGAAACATCAGAAGCAGGACTTTCGTTTTCATTGTAATCTGCTTTAGGCATCCTTGGTTGGTGTAATGGCTGATAAAGCGAGTCAGTAGTTGGCTGATTCAAGTATCCATTGTCTGAATGAATAGCAGCATTTTCACCAATTTTATGTGCTTCCATCCTTGTAAGAGGTCGAGACACTTCGCCTACTTCTTTCTCCACCCCTCCTCTTTTTCTCAAACTTCCACTGCCTACAGAAACACCTTTATCTCCACAATGTAATTCGTTACTAACACATAATCTTGAAGGTTCAGCTAGCATTGGATGTTCTGCATTGCTTACACGAGTCTCCTCTTCTCCACAAGATAGCTTAGCGTGTGGACTATCTTCTTTACCTCTACTCACAGTATCTCCATTGCCATATACCACAAAACTTTCACCCGAGGCTCCGATTTGTCTTGTTTCATTTGTTTCCAGGCCAGCTCCTCTTTTAGAGGATATCTTTTGTCTATGTTCGACTCCCAAGCTTAAAAAGGCTTGCAAGTCTTTTCTAGCCAAGGAAGCCTTTTTCTTAACTAACAGATACGTGGATATTGAACGAGAATATGCACAAAATGGGCAGTAAAATTTTCCATTTTCATCAAGTGTGGCAGTAGAGCCCATACAGCTCTCATGAACTCTAAATGGGCAAGCATTAGACCTACAAACTAACAACTGACCACCTTTGTTGCACCTCATACAAAGACATATCTCAGTGCAGTCATTCATAGCCATGGTATCCTGACTGAGTGTGCATTGGGAGCTCAAGAAAGCTTCTTTCTTGGCAGCAATATCAGTCCTCTCATCATCAGACTCGCTATCAGTCCTCTCATCATCAGACCTCTCGCTACCACTACCAGTTTCAAGTTGGCTATCCTTTTCCATGGATTTTTTTCCTTCACCAGAAGGCCCACTATTGGAAACGTTTGGTAGAGTATCATTCTTACAGTCCCTAGGTTCCCCACCAAATTCTAAACCTTTCATGCTATCGATTGGCAACGTTTTCTCCTGTCCCTCTCTACATGTGTCTTGAGGCGTACTACCATTATCACCAGGAGGCTGCTGTTGACCATGCTCAGTATTAGCATTACCACAACTTTGTTCAACCTTCTTTGATACAGTATACTCAACATGATCGATCAACATATTTTCCCCTAAGCCTTTTACAGGGGATCCTATTGACGTTTCATGTTCTTCTCTTCCAATATGCTCTGTAATTCTCCTGGTGAAATTATCTAATTTATTAGATTTCTGTAATAGGCTTTCTTGTAATTTGTTATTTCCATTTGAAGGGTTTTGTGATGCTAAATCATCCTCAGCTACTGTAGTTTGGGCATCAATATTGACATCGGCCATATAACTTGTATTTTCAGATACATTTGCAGCTCCTACTTTACTCCTCTCTCTCAATGTTGAAAGAAGCGGGTGACTGCCCTCAAGAAGTGCTTCCTTAAACTGTTTGAGCAAACAAAACATGGGCCATGCAGCAGGATGTAAATGAAACCAAAAGTCTTATTCTTTTAGCCATTTGTGATACACATGCAAATGAAAACAAACTATTTCCCACCTTTTGAAAAGAGCTTTTGGGCAAAGAAGACCTTTTATGCATTATAAAAGAACGAACATTCCTTTTTCGCCGTTCTAACTCCGTCAGTGGTTCAGATGTCTGTTACACTTGCAAATAATAGAATAAGTAGAATATATGATTTCCAACAGATCATATTAGACTTGTTTTACTTTACCAGGAAAAAGCGATATTACCTCGTCTAATATCTTGTGCAGGACATCTTCACAGTGCTCTGATGGATCAAAAGAGATTTTAGCATTTTCGGCAGACTCAGGATCAACTGTAGCTTCATCACTTCCATGAATAAACAAGCTCTCTAAGATTCGCAAGGAGAGCATCTCCCTTGCATCCTTTCCTAAATCATCCGAGATTGCAGGAGCCTTTTTTACCAGACCTGAAACATGAATCTCCAGTTCTTGCAGGAAAATGACATAGATAAGAAGTTTAAGGAACAGACAAAAGGCAATATCAAGCATACCAACTAAAGTAGATGAATCTACTTGCTTAAATTTTGAAAGGGCTTGGATGACCCAATTCCATGCATTGACAGGCACAGTAGAAGACTTGGTGGACATGAAGATCACTATTTCAAAGTTTCAACGGCCAACTTAATGGTTACTTCATCTGCGTTCTTTCTCCATGAGCATACTTCATCTGTAAACATAGATGTACATCACTTTAGTGCACCTTAGCTAAGCCAATTACGATCAACCAAAAAATGCAATGTCCCACCAAAAAAAAGCAACATCAGTGTCTCTAAACCTAGGTTAAATAACAGCAACAGACTGACATATAGACTGCCAACACTTCAAGCTCAGTCTGCTTAGAGTAAAGATTCACCTCGGAACTTAATAGTTTCTCTAATTGTAGCGTTCCTGATATAACAGAAAATAATCAAACTTCCATTCACATAAAGGCGTGTAACCTCATTCAGGCTCTCTACCTTTCATTCCTTTCCTCCCTATTTACAGAAAACAGAATGGAGCAAGGAAATAAAACTTATTGAGTCATAGACACCTTCTTGTTTCAAATTTCAACGAATATAATAGCACCAAACACCAATCAGACTTGTATTCTTCAAAGAACTTTCTTTCCAACCACACCAAACAAATTCACAACTCAAGTGAATTACAGATTTTCTCGGCAAGAGTGAACAATCAACCACAACTACGCCACTACACGAAATTATTTAATACTACCCAGCATATAATGATCAAAATGAAATCCAAGCATTTATCACCATTATTTCCTATTTATTGAGCTTATTTTATACATTAAGACAACAATATTTCCTCGTATAGTCATTTCTTCAAACTGGGGTCTATTTCTGGGAACAAATACAGTAACAATAAACGATTGAACAATCCATCATGCTGGAACTATCATTACGAGGCAAAAAAGCTAGATAATTCACAAAAAATTTCAACAATTTGCAAAAAGTTGCATCTAATGACTATTTAGGATTAGTATTAAGCATCAAAACCAACATGATTCCACAAATATCACAAAAAACCCTAGGCCGTATCTATTTTGATCAACTACATGTAAGTTATAGAAAAGTTCTGCAATGGAACAATTTTTCAAAAATAAAACAAATAACACATAAATTGCAACAATCTAGTTGTATTTTAACGCAGAGATGAATTCAGTTCTGAAAGATAAAAAGGAATAATGGAGCAATTGCAAAGAATAATGGAGCAATTGCAAAGAATATCAATAGGTTCAGAAATCTAACCTAATAGAGAGTTGCACACCTAAGCCCCAAAATCGAGGCCTAAATCGAGGCCTAACCTCCAAAGATTTAAGTTTTGTTAATGGTGTAACGCATGTAGCAAGTAGCAAGTAGCAAGTAGCAAGAAGACGAGAACTGAGAGTTGCAGAGAGCGTCCATAAACGGCGGTAACACAATTTCTCAGCTTGTTGAACAAGCATCAAGGATAAATTTTATTTTCAAAAGTTAATTAAAATAACCATTTTCATCGTTAGATTTTACCTATCGGCCATTCTCGTCCATTTTTATAAAAATAACTGACAGTCGTTCAATGATTTGGTGCAAAATATTAAGGGTCAGAATGATCAGGAGATTCTTATGATATAGTGCAAAATAATTATGGGTCAGAATGATCAAGAAATTCTTATGATATAATGTAAAATGAAATATAATTATTTGGTAATTATTTACAAAAAAATTAGAACGTTGAATTATTAAGAGAGGTCATGATACAAAATCATTAAGGCAGTGTTTGGTACGCAGATTGGATGGGACGGGACGGGACATGACTAATTGTTTGTCCTATGTTTGGTACGACTAGGACAGGACGAGACAAAACTATTAAAATGACCATATTACCCCTAAATATTGTTCAATGTTATTTTATATCATATAATAATTGTAAAATGACAACAAATCAATCAAAATATTGTCATTTTAACTTTAGTCCCATATTGTTCCACTTTTTTTGGTGGAACAAAAAAAATAAGATTTGTCCCACTAAAATTAAAAATAGTCTCACCTTGTCCCATGTTTTTTTTGTCCATGGCAAACATGGGACTATTTTTTTGTCCCGTCCTGTCTCATGTAGTCTGCATACCAAATGCACCCTAAGAGGGTTTTAGAACCATTAAGAGGTAGATTTTTTTTGTAAAACAAAATTCACCTCTTAACAATTCAGAGACCGTCTCTTAATGAAAGTATTAACAGGTAAACAAACAACCCCTAAGTCTATCAAAACAACGCAACTAAACGACAAAAAAGTTTGTAATTTTTACCCTTGTCACACTATACCAGGTCTGCAATTACGGACATCTCCCTGTGGTTTTTGTTACATTTTCTAACCAAGTCCACAATTGCAAACTTACCGTTTTATGGACCGGGTCGACCCTGGGTAAACTGTAATCAAATATTGACATTGGGAAGGAGGGTTTTTTTGAAAAAATTTGACCCCATCCATGAGATCCGCAATTATGATACGAAACTCACCCCCGTTAAGTAAATAATAGTGTTAAATTTTACTGGTAAATACTTATCGGGTAAGTATTTGGTAAATGGGCCTTTAGACAAAATATCACCAAAAACAACCTTATCGGACAACAAAAAATACTAATCGGACAAGTCACAAATATTTTCAAAGATATCGGACAACAAATTGAATCTTATCGGACAAAAAAATACCAAACAAAGTTATCGGATGGATTATCTTACAGGTCAACTCTTTATCAGTCACCAAAAGATATCGGTCAACACACTTACCAGATATTTTTTTTATCGGGCAAGTGTTCATCGGTCACTTGCTTTATCGAACAACCAAACCTTATTGATCAAAAACTTATCGGTCAAAAAGCTTTTATCGCGTAACACACAAATCGAACAACCAAAGGATATGCAACAGGTGATGAACACTCTTATCGCTTGATGAACTTTTTCATCGAGCGATGAAATTTCACTTAGGCAAAAACTTCCAGATTTTAATCCAAACTACTCAAAACAACACCAATTTGAAAGAAATAAGCACATATTGGTTCGAAAATTTACCACAAACTGAATTTAATACAAATTGCAATAAAAAACCGACCAAATTGACAAAATTTAGTATGAACAGTTTCAAGAACTCGAACACCAAGAAATCCAAAATTGATTCACAAAATCGATTCAATTACAAAATTAATGATTCAGATTAGTTTCCAATTAGAAATCACATACAATTCAATCAATTACACAATTTAATTATAATACATGTTCAGCGATCATTAAACAGACTCAGTGATAATTGTTGAAGCTGAATACAAAGATAGTACACTTCGATAGATAAAAGGAATCATCAAATCACTGAGAGAAAGGATCAACAAAGGTTCATTTTTCAATGTAGTATGAAATCTCAAGATCCACACCCTCTAAGAAAAGAGTCATCCGGTTTTTCCAGAGACTGAAGTTGTCTCTAAAAAACCGGGGAGGTTTGGCAAGAGAGTCATTATCGTGAAAAATTGTGCTCGTATTTTTCAAAGCCATTTGATAGGTAAATAAATTATCTAGAAAGAAAGAGATAATAAAACACCAATAAAACACTAAAACAAACACTGATCAAGTGGTCCCAACCGGATCTACAAAAATTTATAGGTAACAGTTTGTAGAAGGGGGTGAATATAAACATAGTACCTTTCACTTTTTAAAAAACTATCAATACATATTTTTACAGATTGTTTGTGGAAAAGATAAGAAACATAACTTATCTAAACAATCAAAGAAACACACAAGTTACAGATAGCAATAAAGAAAATACTTGCTAAAAGAAATAAGTTAAGAAGTATTTTGTTCTTCACTTGTTACAGTGGTTGTCTTTCTCTTAGATAGAGATTCAAGAGGAGATAGGAAGACAACTGAGAAGAGAGAACATTTCAGCTATTTATACTCATTAGATTACATACAAGTCAGAAGGTACAAAGCATGTGGCAAACTTCAAGATGTGAGCTTGTCCTTTGTTGTAAATATACAGTCTTTGGCTGTATATGAACAGTAGTCTTTCACAAAGTAGGTAAGCATGCTTGGAAACAGTAAAGTGACTCCGTACAGTACTTTACTTTGAGAGGTATGGGTTTGTCCTTTGTGTGTAGAAGGACAAGACAAAAACTAATCTTGTTTAACAACATTCATTTGATCGCTGATACTAGAATGACGCTGGAGGTCTCTTCAGTGTTCACTGAATCTTGAGTAGATTTCACACTTGTATAGGTGAGCTTGTTATCACTTAAAACCACATCAGATCACGAACTCTTGTCTCTATCTTCGATATCGCTGAAGGTTATGTGATGTGAGTTTTGTCTTTCTGAAGAATACTTGTCTCCGAAGGAATTACAATACATGTTCAGCGATCATTGAACAGATTCAGTGATGATCGCTGAAGCTGAATACAAAGATAGTACACTTCGTAAGGTAAAAATGATTATCATCAAATCACTAAGAAAGAGGATCAACACTTGGATCAACACCATGATGTATCATATACACATATGTACAACAATATAGATAGATAGATCGATCCATCATTATATATGTGTGATTAGCAACCAAGATACATATAAGCATTCATACGTATAGACATACAAGCACACATACATATATATCCTCATACATGCATACAAATACTATAACATGTGTATACACATGCATACATATAACATAAACACATACAGGCACACATTTTTACATATAACACACACACACACATATATATATATATATATATATATATGTATACATATGACACATACACATGTGTACATATAACACATACACATGAGAAAACATGAAAACTAAATAATCCTGATCCATAATCCATTGCTGATTACCGAGGAATTAACAAAGGAATCCACGTTTCCGTCACTAATCTGTCCTTGATTAGTGACGGATAAGTGAAATTTCCTTTTTTTAATTTTTTTAAATAAAAATCCACGTGTACGTTGTTAATTACCGACAGACACGTGGATTTTTATTATCAATTTTTTTAAAATCAAAATTCATGGATTCCGTTTAACTACTGCCCCGTGTTCATCGCCAATCAGTGGATAGTTAGCAACTGATCTACAAAGGATTGCGTTTACAAGTAACTCGTCGCTAAATTTCAACATATTGCAAAATTTTGTCGCTAATACCTGATTTTCGAACGGATAAAACTAACAAGTTTTAAACCATATAAATAAAAATTGTAATTTTATTTCAACGAATCTTTAGAAGGGGGAAACGTACTGTAATATATATTCATTTAATTAAACAATTGTTTATTTAATAACACCTAAAAAACCAAAAAGGTTCAAAAAACGATTGAACCACCATCTTCAATGGCATGATGTGGTTGGAGGAGAGGGACGGTGGTCTGAGCCGATGGTCCACTTTCCTCTTTGGCTTTACCCCACACCACCCCATAAAACCCTATTGTTATTATCATCCCCCCTGCGACACTGCATCAAAAACAACATCAAAGCACTTACTTGGAACTGCAAATATATATATATAGTTCAGTTCACGTGAGATAAGAGTTTTTTATGAAACCCGTAAGACTAATTTATGTTTATTGATCAACTTTATAAGTTAATGATTTAAAGTTACACGATGACAATTTTGTAATTATTGAGAATTCTTGTGGTAATTTTGTGATTATGAATGTTCGATTGTAGATCTAATCCAAGGGTTGAGAATTATTCATAATTTTTTTTACCCTTGGCACTCACATGTTTATGATTTTTTTGTGGTTCTTATTTGACTTGCACCATATACATACACATACGCATACACACACATATACATACATTAGAGACTGGTTCAAATATGAAGGCTAAATATTGTCATAATGTAATAAACAAATGTTCATATGTGAATCCAATGAAAAATCAGAAAAAATCTATCTGAAGATGCATATTTGAACCAACATTATGATATATTCATATGGGTTCACATATGCATCTAATCGATTTTTCCAATAATTCACATATGAACCTTCTTTTATTACATTCTCACGAAATTTAGCCCCTTCATATTCTTAGATGCCACTATATATATGTATACATATATATATATACACACACATATACATATATAGACGAAGGATCATCTGAAAATAAGAGTTAAGATGAAAAACGTAAGAAAAGATCTGGACCTTTGATCACTTTTAATCGCACCCCCAACCCATGAATTGCGTTTGATACGGGAATTGATCGAGTGCATCTCAATGCAACTTATTTCTATTGATCGTCAATTAGGATTGAGCTAAGGGTGTAGATCTCTTCTTACTTTTCTCTTCATAACTTCGATTCTCACCGAATTCCAACCCTCTATATATAAATATAGGGTTGGGCTCGGATGAGAAGGGAAGTTGTTGTAAGAAACGTAAAGAGATCTCTACCTTTGGATGAATCCTAACTGAATGTCAAGACTAATAAGGTGCACCAGATCAGTTCCTTTCTAAAGCGCAATTCATAGAAGAACATGAAATTAAAAGTGATCAACGGTTCATATCTCTTCTTACGCTTATCACTATAACTTCCCTTCTCACACTATCCTATAAACTCCATAAACACAGTGAAATCATGAATTACTAATTCTTTACTCATGCAGGTGATCGAGATAATTAGAGTGAGAGATCGATAACCTTCCAAACTGTAGTGAATCACCGAGAAACAAGACACCCATTACGATCGCTATCACAATTGTTAACGGCTTGAACATGGCTACATAGACCGGCCCTTTCTTGCGTAATGTCCAAATTTGTATTACAACAGTCAAAAATCCAGAAGTAAACCCCTACATATACACAAGTTAAGTAATCATATTATACCCATTAAGAGGCAGCCTCCGAATCATTAAGAGGTGAATCTTGTTTGACAAAAAAAAAAGTATGCCTCTTAATGGTTCTAAAATTCTCTAAATAGTTTTGTATCATGAGTCTCCCTTAACCATTAAGCGTCCTAATTTCATTATAAACAATTACCAAACAATTATATTTCATTTTTCAAGATATCATGAGAGCATCTTAATATCATTCAACAACTGCCAAACAACCCCTTAAAAGTTAAGTAAGTTGCTAGAAAATTAGTACGAAGATGACATGTTTTACCATGTATAGCGTAGTGGCCAAAATGACATCGAGTTTTAGCTTCCAAGCATCCGAATCTCTAGCCATGACTAACCCTGCAAGTCCCGCTACAAACAATCCACTTACGCTGAACACGAACACCACCATGATGTCTATCGGATACGACAACATTATTTTTGCCTGCAATGATTTTAGCCATACTCACTTTTACAAAGGCGACATGATTGTCTATCTTTTCGGGTAGTAAATGATGCAATTTCGGTACCTGAGCAACGAGAGCGAAGGCAACTAAGAAGTATTGACTTGCAAGTAAAACGCCTCCAATGACCGAGTTTAGGCTAAACGAGTATGTTGAACGCGTTGGACCACTATAAAGCATTGCTACAAGTGCACCTGCTATCGACACTATCGTTCCTGTAACTTTTGCTCGAGTTGTATAAGTTCGGAAATCTATCGTTTCCATCCTTACAAATGCAAATAAAATAACATATCATTTTCTTCCTTAAAACATGATGGTTAAAAGAACAATTAATGCGTAGGAAAAGAACCTGAAGAAGAATGCCAGCATGAACGTAAACGCAGGAGAAAGGTTACTCATGATCGACGATAGAGTCGGAGAACCGTACTTTAGACCGATATATCCAAATACTTGTGACAAGTACCTGCCATATATATATCACAACGTTTAAAATTGTTGTGTTATTATAGTAAGAACCGTAAGAAGAAATCTTCACATTTGAATTAATCCTAATTGAATATCAACACTAATAAGTTGCACCGAGATACCCCGGATCAATTCCCTTCTAAATTACAATTCATGGATGACCATGAAATTAAAAGTGATAAATGATTCAGATATCTTCTTACGCTTCTCACAATAATTTTTCTTCTCATACGATTCTCAGAAACGTTCCAATCTCTTTGGAGGCTCTGCTACATCCAAAACTTTTGATTACATTGCATAAATGAGATAACAAATAATATATATGTTAAGAAACAAAAATGGGTTAAACATAAAACGATCAACCTAAACCATTAATGATTTGAACCTAAAACCAAACAATTAATGGTTTGACCCTAAATAACGTCGACTATAGTAAAAGACCCTAAACACATGTAAATTTGGAGCCATGTTCAAAATCTCACATTTAACATGCTAAGGGATGACCCTAACGATTCTTCGCCCATTTTTGACCGACAGATTCATAAGGGTTAATAAGGTAGTATAGATATATAATAATCAATTTGAACTTCTTTCAATTAACATAGTTTGTTGGGGTTTTCTGAACTTTTATTTGATAGCTGATGATGAAATCATGTTTGACAAATACTAACTTATAAGGTAAATGAAAATTGAAAGATTACCCAAAAGGACATCTTGAAAATTTAGTCGATTACACCATTTCATAATATAATAAAAAAATCCCAATATAATATGTTTTAGAATACAAACAAGATAGTAATAGAATTAAATAATCCATTAACAATATGAAACTAAACTTAAATCATTAATGATTTAAACCTAAAACCACACAATTAATGGTTTGATCCTAAGGGTGCGTTGGTGCGCAGATAGGACAGGACGGGACAGCTGTTCAGCGTTTGGTAAGGCAGGACAGAACATGACAGAACTTGTTAAAATGACCAATTTACCCTCAGTGAGCTGTTTAGTGTTTTTTCACCAAAATCAATCTTAATTAAAAACTCACAAAAAAGCCAAGTGCTGTGTTCACTACTCACAAATAAATGGCAGTCAAATAAGCTGCTGTGTTCACTACCACAAACAATGAAACAATTGAATGAAGAAAATTGGGCTTGGTTCACTACTCACAAACAGAGCTGCTGTGTTCACTACTCACAAATAAGCTGCTGTGTTCACTACCAAATTCGATCAAGGAAAGGAAATCTACCACAAACAGAGCTTGGTTCACTACTCACAGATCGATAATGCGTACTTGAGTATGGAGAGAAGAGAAGCAACAGTCGGGTAGGGGAAGATGGTCGTATGGAGAGAAGAGAAGCAACAGTCGGGTAGGGGAAGATGGTCGCCGTCGAGAAGAGATGTCGCCGTCGATGGGGAGGAAGCTAGCGCCGTCGATGGGGAGGAAGCGAGCGCCGTCAAGAGGAGATGGTCGCCGTCGATGGGGAGGAGAAGCGATGGAGGCGGACTGTGTGTATGGACTAGAACTCCCGTCGCCGTCGAGATGGAGAAGGAGAAGGTTAGGGCAATCGTCTACCTGTAGAACTCGTCGAGATGAAGGGGAACCTAGAACTCCAGTGGCGGTCGCCGTCGCCGTCGCCGATTGATGAAGGGTGCGATGGAGGGGCGGCGTCTTTGGCAGGTGCAGGGGCGCCGATTGATAGAGGGTGCGATGTGGGGAAGAAAGGGGGAAGGGGTAGTGTGGTAAAAAAGTTTGTGTTCCACTGAGTTCCAGGGGTAAAGACAGAACAACCGTGTCCCACCCTTGTCCTAGTTAGTTCTACTTAGTTCCATATTAAGTCACACCAAACGTAGGACAAATGTGTTCTGTAGTGTTCTGTCCCACCTTGTCCAGCGCACCAAACACACCCTAAATAACTTCGGCTATAGTTTTACACAAGTCCATAAAAGACCCTAAACAAATGTAACTTTGGGCCCAAATTTTCGAAAACCCCGTTCAAAATCTAATAATTTAACATGCCAAGGGATGCCTTAACGATTCTTCCCCCATTTTTGACTGACAGATTCAGTTTAAAGAATTAATAATATCTAAAATAAATTATATAATTAATTAATCAATGAAGTAGATATACTTGAAAGCAAATCAAAGCAGCTTACATGAGCACACTAAGCAGAAATATTTTCACTACAATTGAGAATTTGATGGGTGGAATGGTTGTTCTTCTGCAATTGAGAATTAGACTGCCATTAATGGAAGGTGTGTGTATATAAGGTTGAGAATCAGACTGTGCAGTGTGTATATGATGAGGTTGAGAAATTAGAGCGCCATTAATGGAAGGTAGGTACCTGTTGAGGATGAAAAGGCAAGGCAAGAGGAAGAAGAAGCCAAGGAGGAAGACATAGAAGGTGAAGACATAAGAATTGATGGATCCTTGAGCAGTTGCAGATTTGAAGAGAGTGTTGCCACCGACAATCATGAACTCCACCATCACCATTGCTGCAAATGGTAATACATCTCTGTAGATGCATCTTCTTCTCTCTCCACCAACCATCTTCTCTCTCTATCTTACCCTCTCTCTAGGATTTGAAGGTAATGGATATTTCTTGCAACTTCTACTCATTGAAAAGATATTTCACCGGAATATGGTATTTTTTTCAATTTTTTCTTTTAATTAATAATATATGGGGTTTTCTAATCCCACCCACTCGTATTTCTTTTCCCCAACATTTTCTATACCCTCATCTATATAATATAATAAAATAATTAAAATTTATTTATTTTATTTTTTATTTTTAACCCTTTAATATTTTTAGTTTTCACCCTTTAATTTTTTAAATACTTTTCTATTATACCCTCTAAATTTTTTATCTATACTATAATTACATATATTAATTAACTATATATTATTATTAATTAAGTATTAAGGATACATATATTTTTTAATAATTTTATAAATTAATTAACTTTATATTATTACTAATTAATAAAGTATTAAAAATATGTATTTTTTAAATTATATATTTGTATATGAATTTTTTTCAATATTTATACTTTATATCTTTATAAAAATTTATTATATTTATTTACTTCTTTATTGTTCATAATGTAACATGTTACTTGATGTATATGAGATAGAATTTAACGTGACATGTTAAAACGTATTTTAGTTAATATAAAATTATGTATTTTAATATGATAATGATGTAAAACAAAATTTGAAAAAACAAATGACATATCATAAATTAAATAAATAACTATAAATGTAAATATTAAAAATATTTTTTCATAGTATATAATATATAATTAAGTCAAAAAATATTCAATATTGGGTTTATTTCAAAGGTATTGACGCGACGATTATAATGGTGTAACTTGTTAAAATTAAAATGTATTTTTTAAACATATTTTAATTGATATACGATTATGTATGTTAATTTGATCAGAGTATAAAATAAAAAATTTAAAAGGAAAGAACGTAAAGTAAATTAATTAACTAATTATAGGGTATAAAATGAAAAAACTTAACCGAACAAACGAACGAACACAAACAATAAACGAACGAAAATCTTTGTGTTCGTGTTCGTTCGTTTAGAAATCAGGTGTGTTCATGTTCGTTTGTTAACTAGAGAATATGAAGTATAATTTAAAAATTAACAAGTATATTAAAAAATGAGTATGTAAGATGAACAAGATCAATAAAGGGTATGAAAATGTTTCCTGCAAGGTTAATTTAGTTGTTAGATCTAATTTTAGTTAATATAAAATTATGTATTTTAATGTGATAATGGTGTAAAAATAAATGATGTATCATAAATTAAATAAAGAATTATAAAAGTATAAATCATATATATTAAAAGTATTTTTTTACGGTATATATAATATATAATAATATAATTAAGTCAAAAACTATTTAATATTAGACTCATTTCGAAGGTATTAACAAGACGATTATAATGGTGTAACTTGTTAAAATAAAAATGTATTTTTAAACATGTTTTAATTTATATACGATTATGTATGTTAATTTAATAAATGTGTAAAATGAAAAATTTAAAAGTAAAGGACGTAAAGTAAATTAATTAACTAATTATAGAGGTATAAAGTATAAATTTAAAATTATTATTTTAAAAAAATTCGTTGAATATGAGAGAGGGTAGGTATGTGAGGGAGTGACTTTGTGAGAGAAGGGGGGGGGGGGGGGTGAGAAAGTAACGTCAGGGTGTATGAATATCAACCCCCTAATATATTTAGTGGTCGTTTACCTAAACACTTACCCGATAAATATATATCGGTAAAATTCAACATTATCGCTTACTTACCGCATAATATTTATTCACTAAAACACATCGTATGCAACAATTTATCCTGATAAGTGCTAACCATGGTAAGAATCATCGTCCTCACTTACCGGGTAAGACTCTCGATTCTTGCATTCGCTCTTATCGGCTAAGAATCTTAGTCCTTGCCATATTTATCTGATAAAGTAAAGTGACTTGGTAAGTGCTTACTCGGATAAGCGTTTGGTAAACGGGACCTTAATTAATTTTTAAAAATTTGATGGTTTATTTTTAGTTGAAAAGATTGTTTAGAGACTTAATTATTCAAAATCAGGGAGTTTTTAATGGTTTTTTTTATTTAAAAAACAGTTTATTGTTTTAATTTTTCAAAAGGATAATCTATTGGGTTTTTCTGAACTTTTATCTTTTTTTTTAAACTAAAAGGCTATGTTTGCCAAACAAGGATAAGTTTGTTGGTAGGTGATAATTTAGCTAATAGTTAATGATCAAATCATGTTTGACAAAAACTAACTTATAAGGTAAATGAAAATTGAAAGATTACTCAAAAGGATATCTTGAAAATTTAGTCGATTACAATATTTCTCCAATTTTAATATATAGAGTTATATGGTAAGGCAATAAGATCATGAGATACTAAAATTTTGTTGATGAATCATTTTAAACCATTGTAGAACATCAGGGCTATCTGTAAACCAGGTGGTTGTTTTGGGACTAGTCGGCTCGCATAGCGGGTTGGATATCCAGGTTAATAAAAAAAAAGAATATCAATGGTATGTTTCCATTATATACAGAGGTTAAATCATCGGAGGACCTAAAAAAAGAACCAAATAACAAACCAAAAAAACAGATAAAAGTATAACAAACAAAAAACTAGATAAAAATATATATCAATATGGATGTCATATATTAAAGAGAATAAAATGATCGGTTTTTGGTATAATTTGTTTCGCTTAAATACAAAGTGTCCTATCCTTTTATCAACTTTATAGGACACTTTTGAGAAATTGTCCTATAAAATCTATTTTTTATAGGATATTTGTTTTTATATGACAAATTTTTAAATAGTGTCTTATAAAGTTGATAAGGGGATGTTTTATATTAAAAGTGTCATAAAAAACTTATTACGACATCAAAAAATGTCATATAAACTTAATACAACACCTTTAAATAGGATATTTTATTTTTTTCGGTCCTATGAACTAAATCTTATAAAGAGGTCTATTAGGACGCTTACAATTTGGAAGTGTCCTATAAACCCGATTTTGTTAAAGTGTCCTATAAAGTTGTTAATACGACACTTTATATTAAAAATGTCCTTAAAAACTTGTTAAGACGTCCAAAAGCGTCGTATAAACTTATTACAACACCTTTACATAGAACGTTTTATATTTTAGTCCTATAATTTAAGTCCTATAAAACGGTCTATTGAAACACTTAGAGATTTGGGGTGTCCTATAAACCCAATTTTGTTGTAGTGATTGGTCGGTAATCCGTTGCTAAAAGTTGGATCCTTCGGTGAAAGTCCCTCGGTAAAATAGTCTTAGGAAAAAGAATCACCGATGTATGATTAGTGAAGGACAGAAGAAAAAAACTTAAGCTAATAAAAAAAATTATATGACTGCTTAAATCATTTTCCTGTAATGGTTTAAGAATCCAGTATCACTAAATAAAATCCAGAAAATTAGGGATTGTTTACCAAACGCTTATCCGGGCAAGCGCTTACCAAAATCACGTTACCTTATCGGAAGAACATGGTAAGGATCAAGAATCTTACCCGGTAAGAGTGAGACAATGACCAAGAGTCTTACCCAGTAAGTGAGGGCGATGACACTTACCATGGTAAGTGCTTACCAAGTAAATTGTTGTATACGATGCCGTTTTGTTGGACTAAAATCTTACCCGGTAAGTAAATGATAATGTTAAATTTTATCGGTAAGCGCTTACCGGATAAATGTTCGGTAAACGGCCCCTTAGTACTTGGTATGAGCAACTGTGGTCAGTAGAAGAAATCTCTAAACCACTGGTGTATATGGATAAGTAGTAATATGAAGTAGTAATAGTAATCTGACTGAAAATCAAGAGAGTTTTCAGCTTTTTATTTGAGAGCTTTATAAATTCTTTTGAAAATATGTTTTCTGGGTTTTATGCATTTGTGAATAGATGACAATATTCAATCATTCCTCTTTTGAATAGACGTGTTTCTTATGCATTTTTTAAAGGTTTTATACATATGTGCATAATTAAAAATCATTCAATCATTCGTGTGTTTCTCGATATGCACATATGCATAGTTAACATCTTTCTGTATATGAACACGTGATGGAAAAAAAATATATATTTATTCAATAGCATAAATAAAAAAAATCCAAAAAATTCACTGAATAATTGAGACACAAAACACATCAATAAAAAAATCTAAATCATGAATCTAAATGTAAATTAAAAATGAACAAAAGGCATAAGACAAGAAATAAATGATTTGCAAAATATAAAGGAATCATTAAGAACCACTAGAAGGATATTCATATAATGTAACGAAATATATCTTGACTTTAATATTTTATTTTATTTTTTATCTGAGTCGATGTTATAGTATGGTCTTATGTGATTTTGAAAAAAATGATGATATTTTTATTTTTGAATAAAACATAAATTTAAAGATATCATAAAAATTTGACAAAAATATATTGATATTAGTATCAAATAAACTATTTAAAATTCCTCATTTTTTGTGTAATTGTCTAATTTATTTTTTTATTATAATTTAATTTTGGTTCAATAACGAAGTAATTTTATACTTGGTTTAATAATATAATTTTTTTGTAAAGATAATAATTAATTATTTTGTTAGAAATCGATAATTATCCTAATTATATTTTAGATTTTTTATATTTTAAAATGAGATGTTTATCCTCTATTTGATAATGTTTATCAGCAGTTAGTTACACGAATTCAAACATGAAGCTTTAATAAGTTGTACTTATGCATAATTTACTTGTAATCTTGAATTTTAAGTAATATGTATCAATATACTATACTTCATGCATAAATATGATTTTATAGAGTTTTTGTCAAATACTTTATAATATAGTATAAATAAGTTACTAATAAGACATCATTCTCATCTAACATATAACATTAATTTAAATTACAACTTGAATAATCAAGAATGATCTCCATCAAACATATTTAAGATTAACAATTGAATGGATAACTAATACTATCTATATCTAGTGATGGCCAAAAACCGGTCCCATGCCGGGTTGGGCCCAATCGGTCCCAAGATTTTTCATAACCGGTCAAGC